TAAGCGGGTTTATTTTTCTTGCTTTGTCCGAGCAAAGTTCAAACATGTTGAAACAATACAAGGACCAGATAGGGTCACTTGACGGACGAAAACTTTGTTGGATCTTCTTGGACATTCTAAGGTAGGAAAATGGAAAGTCGTTTTGGACGAGTCAAACACTGTTCCCATATTGGGTGAATGCATGAAGTGTTTTGATGTGAAAAGCAGGGTACCAGGCTTTAGTTCCTACTTGTAGGGGCTAGTCCTGAAACCAGCAGAATCTCCAACCAAAACGACGTCTCCAGCGGTTTGTGGTCTTGAAGGGCTGTTCCAATTTGGTATCTACACCCGGAATTTCCTTGTCGCATCCCCAGGATATCCCAGTCGTTTTGCCCAGGGGGCTGAGTAGATGGCGCCCAGATGCCCCCGTCACATCTGACTGGCGAAACTTTGGGTTTTGAAGGGGATAAACAACACAATGGCGGTAGACTAACCACAGAAGCAATCCCCCTGGGGGGGGCATCAGAATCCCCATAAATCTTTGACAATTTTTGGGCCCCCCATTCCATCCAAGGGTTTATAATCATTTTCCCCAAAGTGGCCATTTTGGGGGTCTACCAAATCATGAGCAATTGTGACTGCTAAGTCGTGTTGACGGGTGGCTGGATTTACTGGGCGTTGCAGCGTTGTGGCTTTGTCGCCGAAGTTACTATGGGACATCAATGCAACTCAAACATGCTCCCGCGGCAGTTGAGTTTTCAAGCAAAAGAACATGCCCCGCTTTGGCCGGGCTTTGGCCGGGCTTTGGCCGCCAACTCGCAACAAGTCGCGGAACATGTTGCACCTGCCGGGAGTCGTGTGATTTCACCCTGCATCAGATGTTCCGAAGGGATATCCAAAGGGCCCCTTTGAGTCCAGGCATGGGGGTTTCCTAAAATATGGGTACCCCAACAATGGATGGTTTGGAATGGAAAAACCTATTAAAATGGATGATTTAGGGGTACCCCTTTTTCAGGAAACCTACACATGGCCATTGCATTTATTTCCGCCTCCATGCAACCCCAACTGCGCCACATGGCAGGGATGAACTCTACAGAACTGGAAAGATGATTCGCCAACTCAGAACCAGTCGGAAGACGAATGGATTTGTATCCCCCCAACTAGCCATATTTTGTAATGGGGATGATAAGCGATAATGATGATTGATCAATGGATATAGGGATATCCTATTTTCAGATAATCCTATATGGAAATAGTGCCAACATACAAATACACCATTGCCGCTATGCATCATGTCTCTGTGGGAGGTACAGCTTAAACTTCGCGTTTCAAGGGCCAATGCTTGGCGACTATGACTGCTGAAAAGCTTCCAGGGGGGTTGTGTGGATGGTAGCTTCTGGGCTCTAAAGCCCCGAGCTTGGTGATGTCTGCATTGATTTCGCGTAGTATCAGGTTCGAGAACCTTCAAACTGCACTCAGGGTTGTCGCAGGAGGCAAACACGAGTCATTCCTAGATCTGTGTATCTTTTGATTGGATGGTTCAATACCCAACGAGAAGGACGTGTTTGAGTTCAGAGGAGGTCCACCAAACGGCCTTACACCTCGAGCCTGCAAACTGCATGACGAACCATGGGATGGAATTGGGTCTCCGAAAAAAAAATCAGCTATTCCATCCCCCCTTGAGTATGATATATGATCTATGTGATATATTGTGATATATTGTGATATAGTATAATTATTACCCTCTGGTAAACTAACATAGTTATTGAAAATGGTGATTTATAGTGGATTTTCCCATTAAAAATGGTGATTTTCCATAGTTATGTTAGTTTACCAGAGGGTAGCCCTTCCCTGATCATTTTCAAAGCAGTGGAGGTCCGGATCGCTGATTCTCCGGTGTCACCTGTTCGTTCTCTGACCGAGTCCCGGTGACGGCGGGGTCGCGTCTTTCGATTCACAAGAGTCGCCTGCGGTGGCGGGACATGTTCGACATGGCTTTGGTACCAATAGCAACGGATTGAGAAATGATTTGTATGGCAATTTTATGGAGTAGACAAGTATGCACATATTGATACATATTGATACATATTGATACATATTGATACATATTGATAGATATTGATACATTTTTTGTATGTTCTATAGAAGTTCTATTCTATATTTGCACATTCCATGGAAGTACGGAGACTTCCAAGATGACCTGGTGTTTTGGTCATCGGATCCCATCGGATTCCCATGGGATTCCCATGGCCACAAAAAAACCTTCACCGAGCCGCCAGGCTCACATGGATTCCAAGTGTTTTTCCCAGCCAACTTCTTGGGCTTCCAGTGATTCCACTAATTTCAAGATATTTCAAGACTCCATAAAGACTCCTTTCAGACCAGACAACTTTTCGAAATCCGTGGCTCCAATTTTTTGAGGCATCCAACATGTCCATATATGTTCAATCCTTAAACCACCCAAAAATCTCCTCTCCACACGACATCACACGACCAGTTCTCCCATGGCCCCACCCATGCCATGGAGCGCACGCAGCCGTGTCGAGTGCCGGATGGCTTTCGACATCTTCCCAAGGTGCCTTGGCTTAGGGGGATGGGATGATATCCCCATGGAGAGTTCTCATTCCTAACGCATGAATATTGGCAATGTATATATATATACATATGTATATATATATATGTATATATATATACGGATATATGGTACCCCCCAAAAAACGCACCCACCGAAAGTCATTTTTTACTGGTATTTGCAGTAAATTCAGTGTATTTTAGGTACCTTTTCTTCATAGTCAAATTTTTTTCGGGGATTTAGGTATCATAAATCAATCAATATATGAACAATAATAAAATATCAATCAATATATGAACAATAATAAAATATCAATCAATATATGAACAATAATAAAATATCAAGCAATATATGAACAATAATAAAATATCAATCACTATATGAACAATAATAAATGCAACAAAAATAGATAACCAAATTTTCCTTCAGGTTTCAAGTCTGACTCAAGACAAGACAAGTTTCCTGGAAATCTTGGATCTAGTGGATGGTATACCACGGTTTCTGTATCCCGTTCCATCCCGTTCCTATATACGCCTGTCGTATTTTAAGGGCTAATTATCATGGCATCCGATTTCCGAACAACACCATTTTGCATTTCCAAAACTCCTGAAAACCCAGGCAAGCCACCACTTTTGTTGTTCATACAACACCATTATATCCACAAAGGAGACCATCTAACCAGGATTTTTCCTCAAACTTGCCATACATTGGAAGTTTTTTTCCCACCTATTTTACGATTTTCTCCAAAACAAACGTTGTAATCCCATCAGCGTCATCAGTTGAAACCGCATTCAACATCCCATGATCATAGTGACACGCCATCAACATCATAGTGAAAACATCACCATAAGGGATTGCCATTGATTTGGGTTTGTTGGACATTGATCTCTATAAAATGGTGGATTAATTAATCGCCCATGAGATACGTTTCTCTTTTTACCAGATAGTATCATGATGACCGTTGTTACCATTCCTCCCTCCGTTATGGATACATCATTGTTATTGATTCTTGTTTCTATAACATTATTTTTATTTAGTTTACCAACATTCATTATCATAGATCAGCTTCATTTTTTCAATACTATTGTCACTATAATTTGTAAAACAGTTATTACTATAGAAGACCATAGACACATGGGTTTGTTTGAACTAATCATTCTTCTCCCTATTATGATGGCCATTTGGGGGCATACATCATTTTCAGACATACCCACACTTGGCGGTATACATAATACCATTCAAATTCCATTCAATAAACCTAAACACAGTTCATCAACATCAGAATGAACACATTCCCCGTCATTGATATTATAGCTACAGAAGTCTTTTTGCAAGACAGTATGATGATTACTATTATTATCACAATTCATCCATCCATTATGGATGCACCCTTGTTACATCAATTGTAGATACTATTATCATCGTTAACATCAACACTGGCGAGTTTTTTTTTTGGGGGTAGCATATATATATGTATATGTATATATATATACGTATATATATATATGTATATATATACATATATATATACATACGTATATATATATATACATAGTATATTATATATATGTGGATATATATATATAATATAATATATATATATATATCTGATTATATCTGTATATATCCCAATGAATTTCACTACCCTCTGGTTTCATCGAACATGGCTTGCTGGACAATTCCATATTTATCCCTTCACCCTAATATTAAAACGTTCCCACCCAAACAATAAAACCTAGGTGTAGCTTTTATTATTATTAGGGAGTGTTTAATATTTTGGGGAGCTGGCCCCTAATATTAAACAAAACACCTTAACTATTTTTTTTTTCGATTTCAACATCGATCAAATCTCTTTTGGACATCTAAAATTAAGATATTGCCACAAATTAGATTTCATTGCTTTCCCCTACTATTAAATTTAAGCATATTAATTAAAAGGACTAAGATTTTCGATTTCAAAATCGATCGAATTCCTTTTGAACATCTAATTAACATATTGTCAAAAATTGCATTTCGAATCTTTCCCTTAGTACCAAATTAACCACCTTAATAAAAACTAAAAACTTTGATTATAAAAACGGACCGTAATTCAAAAAAACACCCCGGGGTTAACTAGTTTTTGTTATTGAGCGGGTAGAACCTTCAAATTGGACCTTGATTTTCAACTATTAACTATTTTCTAAAGGGGATCAATTAACGGTCAAATTGACCAACCTGAAATTTCCAAAACGAACAATCTGGGCTAGTTTTTGTTATTTGGGGAGGTTTGATGATTTTCCGAGCTACAAACCTCTGCTTATAGGGAGTTTTTCAGCCAGCCGTGTTTGATTTCCGGAGGTTATATAAGTAATTATATAAGTAATTATATAAGTAATTATATAAGTAATTATATTATATTATATTATAGTATATGATATTATACTATATAATATAATGTTATATTACATTATATTAATATTAATATTATATTATATTATATTGTATTATATTATATTATTATATTATATTATATCATATTATATTATATGATGTTATATTGTATTGTATTTCTATTTCTATCTATATTTGGTGGTTGTTACCCCAGGCAGTTTCCTGTTGATTTTCCACAAGCAATCCAATGTGTGAGCAGATTTCGAGTCCAAAGTTTGGGACGAGACTCACTGGAAGTAGCGACCGGAAACGACCTTTTCACCAGGGGCAAAAAAAGTTTCGGATGGTTCCAGTAGGCAAATTTAAGTGGCTTATTTGTGGCTTCTCTGATGAAGATATCTTCTTAAAGTTTGTTTTTGTTCCTAACAGCAGTGACTGTTGGTTTTAGTTAGTGTTTTCAACCCTGGAACCTGGAACCTGCTGTTGGGTTGCAAAGCTGGGTTAATTTTTGAGCATCCAGAACTTCCATTGTCACTGCATCAGTCGTCACGTTGCACTTGTCGAAAGCAGGGGGTCCTAAAGTTTGGACACTTGGAACCTGGGTCATATCACTTGTTCCCACTGAACAATTGATGTGAATTTCAGAGTGCTCCATGGCAGTTTTGCCAAGCATTCATCAGTCATCTGCATAATGATTATACATAATTTACACACACACACACATCTGAATCTTGTAGAGTCATTCCAGTCTCAATCTTGTCCAATCCGAATCTAAGGATGAAACTCATCATTTATTACCCTACTGCCAAACCCTCAAAAAGACGCAGAAGTTGGTACAATCCATTTCTGAAATCGCAGTAGATTAGTAAACCTTTTCTACATCTTCTGGGGCGATTACTATATAGTACTATATGCATAGAATCCTACACATAATGATGATATATAATTATATGTACGTACATATCATCTAGTACTCTACTAACTATATATTAGTGATATCTTGGGTGAGAAAACAAACATATATGGTACGATTATGTATTTTACGCCATATATTTTACACTGTATATATATACACACATATACATATATATATATATAGTTGGTGAACTCCGTTTCTTAAATATCAAAATCCTACGATTCCTTGGGGGAAAAACGCCACCGTTGGGAGGTGCCCCGGACGGGCCGTGCCACGGAAGTCTTGCCCCAGATCTTGCTGAACACCCGAAGCTTGACGGCACGAGGATGTTCATCCCTCCAAGGCATTGTATATATAGGGTATTACATAATATCTACAATTATGGATATATGTTCATTAATAAGGAACCATATAATAATGGATATCCATAATTATGCCATATCCATATATCATATATCTACAATAAGGAACCCATTATATATATATACATATATATATACTATCTATATGATTATAAGTGTATTAATGTGGCGCTTCCTAAAATAGGGGTACCCCCAGTTCTCATCCACTTTATAGATGGATTTTCCATTAGCCGTCCAGCTATTGGGATGTTGGGTAAAACAATAAACCAGCCATGACTGGGAATGGTAAGTTTAGACCACCTATAAAAATGGTGATGACCGGGGGATGTTTTATGATTGTTTTACCCACATGATAGGTTTTCACCGATAGGATCACCTACCCTCTGGCTAACACATTGAAGATCATGACTTGAATAGGTAAAAACGAACTTAATGGCCATTGAAACAATAGCTATGTTAGTTTACCAGAGAGTATGATACTGTGAATTGTTGAATAAGATGATATGGTTAAAATTCAACGAACATCATTGTACGTGTATATCATGTTAGTTCAATTTACAATGATCTTACAATGATATAAATGATGTACAAAAATCTGACAGTATCTCAGTTGAATATTCATAGTTAGATATCTATACATAAAATATATGTACTATACTATTTAATTTAGCAGTGACTATGAGTTTATCTCCTGCAATATATATACATATATATATATGTATATATATACATAAATATGTAAATACACACATCCGTATATATATATAATGCTTTATATTTATGTATTGACACACGTTTCTTATATGTATATGACTGCTACAAGAATCGCGGTTTATTAAAAGGTCTAACAAATTAGCCCGGACTTGCGGGACTCGACATGATGTGAATGGGCGAGCCAACCATTTCCAGATCTTGCCGCATCTTTGATGTCAAAGGAACATCAACCTTTGTTTCCCGCGGTTTATGCGTGTTTATCTAACCAGGTGCAGTGAGATACAGCAGCTGCTTTGTTGTTTTACTTGTTTTACTTGTTTTACCTCTTGGCGTTTCGAGGTCCAGACACTCTGAGGAAGGCCAATTCCAAGCGGCACACCCAGCTGGTCTCGCTGTTTGGTTTTTTTTGTCTGGTTCTTGCGAAAAAAAACAGGCAACGTGCAAAGCCTATGGGTAAAACAATGTCATACACCATCCCCAATTTCACCATTTTTTAGGTTGTATGGTTGCCATTCCCAGTCATGGGTGGTTTATGAAATTGTTTTTCCCCCATGACCTAATATTCTTCAGAAGCAAGATCAGTTCCCCAGGCGAAAACAGGTGTCTGGGCCCATCGGCACGGGCGCCCAAGGGTGCCTCCCAGTGGGTAAAGACCATAGGAAATACCCCAGTTAGATGAAGGGGGTATATCTCCTAGGTCCCAACTAGGGGGTCAAGTTAGAGGCTTTGGCAATGGATATTTCGGGTAATCTTTGGAGCATAGGTCGGTCATTTTGACCGAAACTGGGTGAATTGCAACGCTCTCACTAGCATCACTGTGCCGCGTCTTGAGTCCAGACTCTCTCCATCCTTTTGCGATACCCTCTGGTAATTTAACGTAGCTATGGAAAATCACCATTTTTAATGGGAAAATCAACTATTAATGGCCATTTTCAATAGCTACGTTAAATTACCAGAGGGTACCAGACACCATTTGGTCATAACTTTTGCGAAACTGGCAGAGAATTCCATGTTTTTCGTTGAACCGAGCGAGAACAAAAAACAACAAGTTCAACAAATGGTCATCCCGAAGCACATTTTGAAGCATATGACTTTGGTTCAACATTTATGGCCCGAAAAGAGCAGATTTTGCATCCCATATATCCCATGATATTTTTGAACGTCACCTCCCAACATCAGGTCGCTAAACGCGGCGATTCTGCTGCACCAAGGCTCCAAAGGACATGCGAAACGATCCTGGAGCCGAGGGCTGGGCCCGCAGTGGGGGTCCCCAGGGTCCCCAGTGCCGTGAGATTTTGGTCCCCCAAATCCCATAGATTTTGATCCTTGACATGGCCATTAGGTAAGCGATGTTTGGCGGCTATGCAAGAAAAAAAGGCTTGAAATCCAGCAACCCCTCTTTTGAGTGAACAGAGATGGCGAGTGGAAATCTGCCTCTCTTAGATGCATATCCCTTTGATTTCTTTATGTAACACTTGGAAACCGATTCCGCTCCTGCCTCTATCCCCGACCTGTTCTATGCGAGTCCTTGAGTGTGTCATGAAATTGATTGGTGCTTTCAAAAGCTTCTAACTTTTTCCATCACTTGGGAATCTTGGGATGATAGTACCCAGTAGCCGCAATTGTGTTGGCATTCAACCTGCCGTTCAGGTCCGGTCATAGGTAGATGGCTTGGGTCCAAAAATAGGGTATGGATTACCCATGAAACAGCCGTGAAACAGCCATTCTGGGGAAAAAAACACATTTTTCAGACGCAACAAAAACATCTTACTGGTATTTGTTGCTTACATATCCAATGATATCCCCTGAAAAATGTTCCATCATTGTATCCCAAATATATCCAGCAACGATGTAATTTAAGTAATAACTATGTATCCTAACTATGTAATATATCCCAAATATATCCTAATGTTCCATCATTGATATCCTAACTGGTTATTTCCAGCAACGATGTTCTGTTGAGTTGATCCCATATAACGTTGTGATCCATCCCCGTTGTGATCAAAAAAGGTCGGCTCGCTCCGTCGCAAAAGCCTTGAACTTCGGGCGCTTCCTGGTTCAAGAGGCTGAGTCTGGGTTGGTTGGACGTGGATTTTTGATAGGGAATTCATGGGAAAACCATGGAAAACCTGGGAAACAACAGGGAACATGTGGTAAACTATGGAAAGAATATGGGAACATGATGATACACTGACTTCGGGATGGTCAGGGGTTGGGCTTGTCCGCAAAAATAGGATGGATCCTCCAACTCATGGCAAGTTTCAAGGGAAAATGATGATAGCCAGTATCCTTAGTCATAGTCTTCGGGACTATGAGGATCAACCATGAAATCTTGGTAGTACCTTATTTTCAAACAAAACCAGGTTGCAAAAAAGTCCCTTTTTGGGGACTCTTTGATCGAACATTGCGACGACTGTGGCTTGCGTCAGTCGAGATGACGTCGTCAAAAGTGTCCCCAAGACTTGGGTAGATGTTGATGAATCACTGCCCCAAGACATAGCTATTGAAAATGGCCCAGTCGAAATAGTGGATTTTCCCATGAAAAATGGTGATTTTCAATAGCTATGTTAGTCATTACCAGAGGGTATTTCTTTTGCGGTCATTTTTAGTTTTTTTCTTTCTCCCCATTTGGCCATCACCCATGTTGAATCAATTCGATGGTCAGCAATGTCTCAACTCTGGTTTGGGCTTCGTTGTGAATTATAGATATATAGTTTATAATGGCTTATAGAACCATTTAATTATATAGCCATTCATAGAACAATTTATTGACGTAATATGAATGTTACCAAGAATCTTACCATAACCCCCTTTCATCAACCAGCTACGTTGACGTCGCAGGATCGCTTGGCCAAATTGCAATTCTCTGAGTCTGTCCTGGCACCAGGCAGCGCTGTGACATGTGACCAGATGAGCCACTAAAATTCAATACCTCTGTTGATTTGTTATAAGGGTTACCCTCTGGTTATGACTCACGGTTCGCCATGGAAAGATCCACCCATTTTTAAATATTTTTAGTAGGTAAACCATCTATTTCTATGGGCCATCTATACCATGGCTATGTTAAATAACCAGAGGGTACCCTCCAGTAAACCAACACCATGGCTTTCTCTTTGACACGATCTACGTCAAATTTGGGAAAACGAGTTTTCGAAGACCCGTACAGCGCTCGCACATCGCGATTAGCCATTTTTGATCACAAACAAAACATAACAAAACCGTACCATATCATATCAAAATATATTGATACAGTTTAGGACGGATTTTGCTCTTCGTCAAGACGTCATGAATTACATTCCGGGCAAACGGAGACTGCAAGCCATCAAAATTCCATATCTATGTTGGTTTACCGGAGGGCATGCTACCTGGTTGATTAGTGATGATTATAAACCATTTAGTGCTATGATTTTGCTGTTAAATGGGGTTAGCCCATATTGACCCCGCTCAGCGTGGGTCTTGATGGTGCGAAATAGGTCCCCCAAAGGCCGTATTTGTTTGGAGAGATACCTTTGGCGGGATATCTTCGGTTCTTTTTGCCATGATACATCTTTACATCACGCAAAGTTAAAACAGGAGTTTTTTCAGCAGTTTTTTCCCTTCAACTTGGCCACAGAATCAAACTCTCTTTACCACCAATTCTGACTGATTTCCCCCCTTTCTCGAAGATGAAGTGTTCTCAGAAGGTGGATGTGGGATTTGGGGAGATAAGTGTTATGAATCAGTGAGTTTTGGAGAAGTGTGTGACAAGCTCAAAGGGTTAGCTTGCGCTTTTAAGGAAAAAAAACTTGGTTTCTCAGATTTCGGCCCCGTAGAAATCTGTAGTTTCTACCGCAGTCCACTGGTGAATCTCCAGGTGGTGATTCAGGGCAGCATGATGTGGCGCGGTGCCCAACTGGGAGACATACCAAAGGACCAAAGCCAGTTGCAGAGCTATTGCAGTTCCATTTTGACATGGGGGGCATCCCACTGAAAAAGAGTGGGTCATAGCAGTTAATAGCAATATTTTATGGAATATCCCCAGTGAGATCAAAAAACATGTGTGTTTTTTTGGCTCATAGACTGATTTTAATGACCGGGGCTCCGTGCTGAGGGTCTAGCCTTGAAAGCCTTGGAAGAGAAGAGCCTGGAGAGTTCTGAGAGGGATGTCTTGGCATCGCTTGCCAGTTTCTGGGAGGATTCCTCTATGCAACTGGGCCGAAACAGGACGCCACGAGGGAAGTACAACATGGGCAAATGTGGAGGGCGTGCCTTCATATTCGATCCGGGCAGATGTACAGGATATGATAGATGTATATGAATACGCATCATCGACAAACAACTAAATCAGCGGGCTGGTTATGTTAATATGTACAATTACTGGTTGGTGGTTTGGAACATTTTTTATTTTCCATATATTGGGATTTTCATAATCCCAACTGACGAACTCATATTTTTCAGAGGGGTTCAAACCACCAACCAGATTATATATGTATGGTAATGTCATTCCCAGGGGGCTTGTTGAACTATTTTTCACTGGCCCGTGATCCCAAATCCCGATGATTTTTGGTGAAGCCATGAATGGCGGGTTAGATCAACGGTGACTTAAATGAACTCGAATCCGGTAGTGACATGCCCATTCTTGCCAGATGATCTCCATTTCTTGCTGGTTCCAATTCTTTTTCACATATTCTATCGGATATATATTGAAGGAATTTGGGATGACCTCAGCTACAGTAACTCCCCAAATTCCCGAACCAGATAAACACATATCCCACAAAAATGGTCACCAATTATGATATATAATGATCAATTGATATAAATTGTTCAGTTTTTCTATTTTTTTTGGGGGTATAAACCATCTATATACCATCTATATATCATCTATAAACCATCTATAACCATAGATCTACCATTTTTTTTGGATCATAATATCAATTGATAATATCATATACATATATATATTCATATATATAAGTTGATCATCCTACTAAAATGGTCACCTTTTGTGGTTACAAAACAGCTCATCTTTTTCAGCTGATCGCACCAAGGCTCGATCCATTGGATCCTATGACCTCGTCTTTCCGCGAGCGCGAAACGGGGCCGATGGAACTGTCGTCTTGCGATGGGTCGCTTGGGGCTTGGGGCGTCTGGGGGCGACGGAAAATCTTTTAGAGCTCAAAAATAAAGAAGGGTCTCACAGTTATGTTTTTTTTTGTTATTACAATTATTGTTATTCTATTTTTTCACAATAAAAATTATGATTATTATTATTATTACTCTATTACAACAATGGTTATTGTTGTTATCATATACTGCTGTACCAGGTAGTGCCCGGCCGTGCTGGGGCGGAAGTTTCGAAAAAAAAAAAACAACCATTGGCTAGAAGAAATAAATGGCTTATAGCCTATAGGGCAGTTTTCGATCTGCAGAAGCAATGAAGTGTTGAAGTTGCGAGGTGCATCAACGAATGAGCAAATGGTTGCTGAGATGCCAATGAAATGACATGAAGCAATCCATGCACAACTGCCTGAATGAACCAATTAATCAAAGAATCACTGAATCACTAAATCACTGAATCAATGAGTCAATGAATCAATCAATGAACCAATGAAGATGAATCAATTAAGCAGTGAATCAGTGAATCAAAGAATCAACGAATCAATGAATGAATGAATGAATGAATGACATGACATGACATGACATGACATGACATGGCATGACATGACATGACATGACATGACATGACATGACATGACATGACATGAATGAATGATGGATGGGTGGGTGGATGGATGGATGGATGGATGGATAAGTGAGCTACGTTCTTTGTTGAGCTACTTTTCACTGAGCTACCTCTTGGCTGAGGCACGGTTCTCCCAGCTACTTCTTCTCTGAGCTACCTCTTCTGTGGCGCTTCTGCAACTCAAGTCTTCTCTTCCCGCAGCCAGTGCAATGCGTTTTGCAACCTCCAGCTGCAATTCCGCATAGTGTAAACGTGGCACTATGCTCAAAACTACCTTTCGCGAAGCCATTACAATGTCTTTAGCAACCCGCAGCTGCAATCCGGAATAGCAGGAGGGTCGCAGCGTCTGTACCGCTTTCCTGCACGCAGCCGTGACAATGTGTTTTGCCCTAGCCGGGTTGCAAACCTGCAAAGCAGGAGTGTCGCACCAAATCGACCAACGTTGGTGCAGTCAACAGTGCAGATTTCACCGCGCACATCCGGGGCTGGCCTGAACGCCTCATTTTTTTCGATTATAGTCTCGTGCACATTTTTCGACTCATCTTCCAAAAGTGGTCCGAACGTTACAGCTTTATTAAATATTTTGAAGTGCAAATCGAGCTCTCGCTACAATCTCGTGCGCTTTTTGTCGACAGCTTTCCTAGATCGAGGCCCCCCACCCGCGGAAACACAGACCCTACTTTTGCGACCCCAGGGGCTTCCATACCTGTAAAACAAAGCGCTTGGCGCCCAAAAGTGTTTTCACCCGTGAATTCACACGCTCCCGCACCCTTTGACTTCCTAACTGCTTGATGATGCGGTTGGCATGATAATGTGGTTGACATGATGACTAGCCATGACCATCGTCCGCAACTCGGAAATTTGCTAACTAAGCTTTCTTTGGTTAGATCCAAGTCAGCCTCGTTTCAAACCAATTCAACTTACTTACCAATCTTCAATGCAAATAATATATATATAGGGGATATTCCTTTGGATGTGGTGCATTGCCTTTGCAGTAATGTGATAAACCCAATTCCATCAAACTCCAATTTATCAATTGGGGATGGTTTGTACCACTAGTTTCTGGTCAACTTGGCGATGTTTTATCAGTGAATCTACCACACAGTAACTTGGTCTTACTGGACAAGTAGTTTGATATGAAAACAAGTGCGTCTATTCCATACGGTATAATATAATAATATAATATATATGTACATACATACATGTGATCGGGTTACAGCAATGACTATCAGCTACTTACCAAGTCCACAGATCTCAATAGGACATCACCAGGACGATGTGGACTAGGTGGAAATAACCCCAAATATCTACTGGAATACGCCAATGAACATTGCAACTTGGGTATACCCTTTGGTAATTTAACAGTTCGCTATGCACAATCACCATTTTTACCAGGTAAAGCATCGAAATAAATGGGCCATGACTCCCATAACCATTTTCTAGAGTACCAGAGGTTGCACTACGAGTTGCAAGAAATGTATGAACCACTGCCGCGTTTGTATATCGAGAATCTACTGTGCAAACAATTATCACTCCCGTTTCAAAAACTGGTAAACAATCATTTTTTTTCTACTAAATCCTGATTTGCAGTGAAATTCGCAGCATCTGCCAGATTTCCAAAGTGCATTGCTCAGCTGAGAAAATGTCCAGGCTTTGTGGGCGCAGCTGGGCAGCGCAACAGGCTTATTGCCGGCTCGCCAAGATTTACCGGGTCACCTTGGGTTGATTTGGGGATAGCCACTGTGGGATTCACCCCGGCCATTCCAACCATCCCCAAGTCATCATTTTTATGGATTTCAACCATCATGGTAGTTGTGGGCAGCCGGGGTGAATTCCACATTACTCCCCTTTGAAGTCCCAGTGTTTGTAGCACCTCACTGGACCTTATCTTGGGGTGTAGAACACAAACAATGGGGAGTCACTCTCATCATATGAAATGGTTTTCTGGTTGATGGCGGATGGTTTTAAAAGAGTACACACATACATACATATATATATATGTATGTATGTATCTATATATATATATGTATGTATATAATATATATATTGTATACATACATATATATATAGATACATACATATATATATGTATGTATCTATATATATATATGTATGTATGTATACAATATATATATATTATGTATCTGTATATACAATATATATATATATTTGTATATACAATAAATATATATATAGATGTATACATTAAAAAATATATATATATGTATATACTGTATATATGCATATTCAATATAAATAAATAAATATATATATATACAATATATATATACAATATATATATACAATATATACATATATGCATATACAAGATATATATATATATGCATATACAAGAAATATATATACTATATATATATTCAATATATATACAATATATATAGTGTATTTACGCAATATATATACATATATATATATTATATATATATTGTATATATATATTGTATATATATATTGTATATATATATATATTGTATATATAGTATATACAATATATATATACAATATATATATACAATATATATATATACAATATATATATATACAATATATATATACAATATATATATATGTATATATATACACAGAATATATTTATATATATACAATATATATATATACAATATATATATATATACAATATATGTACATATATATACAATATATTTATATATATACAGTATATATATACTATATATATACAATATATATAATATAAAATATTCAATATATATATATATATATCTATATACAATATATATATATAGTGTATATACACAATATATATACATATAGTGTATATACACAATATATATATATACACAATATATATATATATATACAATATATATATACTATATATATGTACACAATATACATATATATATACATACACGATATAGATAGATATACACTATATATATACACACTATATATATATATATACACTATATATATATGTATATGATAAATGTTCCATATATTTCACCATACTTTTTGCCCTCCCGACCTGTGATGGTTTTCTCTCCGTTAAACTCTGCCGGCCCAGGTCGGTCTTTGATGAGCTCGAGGAATGATAGTAGGTGCCAGCGTACCCTGGGCATCCTGGGTTCGCAAGTCATGGGGGTACCCCAAAATGGATGGAGGGTTTATTTCATGGAAAATCCCAATCGAAAATGGATGAGAACTGGGGTAGCCCCTATTTTTAGGAAAACTCCATTTTCGGGAAGCTGAGGATTTAGAAATTTAGCTGCTCAATTGACTCAAGTTCATATTTTTTCTTAACTTAAATGGCTACAGCGACCTTGTTGCGAGAAAGGAACAATAACAGGCTGCTCACTTTGAGTATTTACTAATCACTTCTTTTTGGTGCACTTGGTAATTGAAAAAAAATCGCAGTGGAAAACCTCAACTTTTATAAACGGTACATAATATAATAATCATAAAGAATCTACCCATGGCACTCTTTTCCCCTTGTTTCACAGCAAAGTCTTTCCCTTCGCAGTGAGGGTGGAAAATGCCATCCACAACATGGAAATCAGTTCCAATAGGCTCTGTTTGCCTGTGAAGCAAATGCGAGTGATATATATATATAACTATATATATATGTATAATATATATATATAGATATACGTCATACACGCATCTATTTTTTCTATTCATATCTATTCATTTATGTTTGTAATCCTGCATCGACTTCGACACGTAGTCGCAGGACGGGACCTGCTCAGCTTTCCCGTGGCTCGTCTCCGATATACCAGAGGGTTGATGGGAAGGGTTGATGTTGGATCTAAGTACCCTCTGGTAATTTAACATAGCTATTGAAAATGGCCATTTATAGTGAGTCTTCCCATTAAAAATGATGATTTTCCATAGCTACGTTAGTTTACCAGAGGGTATTGACGTTTATAGTATATATTCTATAGCTATTCTAAGCTATTCTATAGGTCATGGATTCATGGATTTTTATGGGGCTTGTTTCAAAAAGACCTCATGGTACTCATACATGGCGAAGCGCTGTGAAATCCCAGGTTATTCAGGGGCCATGATGTCAAACATCACTTATGATTGACAGGGATATTGAACAGGGAATTCCAATAAACATGAGCTTTTCAAACAGGAATCAGGAAATTTTATTGCACATCATGCGGCCAAACATTCGGATCTTTCAACATTTATTGTTCGTTTTGCGCGCTATGATTTCAAACAAAAACTACATAAGACATCATCAAAGCCAAATTTCTCCAACTTCGCCCTAGGTCGTAGTGTTTTTGGTTCATCAAACCCTGATCTGAGCGGGATCCTCCTATCCAAGGAGATGATGAGACGATCCCCGAGCTGATCGAGTCTCAGATCCGATGGACGAAGTTTAGATGAGACGTTGATGCCAGTGATGCCATGGCCATATCATTAAGGGATGATCTAAGCTGATGTGCAAAACACCAAAGATATGAGCTTTGTCTGGATTGAGTTTTTACCATTTAAACATAGTTTGTCTATGTCTGGAACTGTCACCGTGGAGTTTCTGAGGATCATTATGTACTCATCATCCTTTATCGTCATCGCACAGCTGCAGGTCATCATCTGCCAAGTCACGACTAGTTTCTGCTTTCACCCCTGAAGAATCTGACTTAGTCATTGACCCCCAAATTGGCAGAAATTGTCACAGGCAGGGATGGGAAACATATTCCTCATATACCTTATATATATATACACATATTTATACATGTACACACCTGGTATATATATATACATAGATATAGATATGTATGTATAAACATACAATATATTTGAAGAGACTACTGGACTATCTTTTCGAAATATCTGGAATGACCATCCCCCTCGCTGGGGGACAGAAAGCGATCCCCCCCGGGCTCCTCATCATGTCATGAAGGGTGCATTCGAAGACAAAGAACGGTCAAGAAACATGGGGAGAGCAATGGACTCACAAATGCGTTTCTCTGGAAAATCGGGTAGCCTCTGGTAAACTAACAGTTTGCTATTTAAAATCACCATTTTCAATGGGAAAACTCACTATTTCTATGGCCATTTTCAATAGCTATGTTAAATTACCAGAGGGTACCCCCAATTCCAATGGCTCATCACATTTTTGGTAGAAATATCCCCCAAAAAGCCGTCTCAATTTGTTGATTCTACTCCCTTTTATCCAGGTTGACGAAGGTGCTTCGTCAAAACATCCAGACTCAACAGCTGTTGCCATCATTGGACAATATCATACATAATATAACTTATATATATATACATATCTAGATTCATATACCCAATTAAATTTGAAGATACCCCATATGTCTACCTCATTGTCCGTGAGTTTATCCTGTTTATCCAGGCGATCCCCACTCCGAAAACGGCGCGACTCAGCTGAAACTTCTCCGCTGTTTCCCGAGTCCGAGGCATCCAGAGCTGAGAAAACAGGATCTGCAACGAAGCTTCTCCATCTTTCCTGAGGAGGTCGCCAATCAGTGGACCCTGCAGTGATACATGTTCCGCTGGATGTGGCTTCCCATGTAGCATTGTATAGTGTACTCATCTACATGGAGAGCCATTTTTTTTCCCCTAGAAAGATAGAAACGCTTAAAATACCACTATTTTCCTAGGATTTTACTTTTCGTTTTTTTGTTTGGATGCTATATAGATTTGATTGAGAACACAACCCACTGATAGAAAATGGAAGGAACGCATCGAAAGTAGCTTGGCACCATGCGAAGGTTCTCATGAGGCTGAAAGACTTCAGGAGGACTTGGGCTTTATATAGACTTGTGGGGTTGATGGGGTTTTGGTCAATGATTGGGTGGACGGGGTTGTACATCAATGTATGCATATATATATATATGTAACTATGTATATATATATATAACTATGTGTATATATAACTATATGTGTATGTATATATATAATATACATAGTATATATATAATATACATAGTATATGTATATATAGATATACACTTATGTATATATGTGTAGATTCATTCGACCATGGTGGTTGATGTTGAAACAAGGGGATAGACGAAATGGTTTGAAGGGCGAACAGGAACATCCAGCTATACACCTTCCAGCTGTTTTGACGTAAAGCCCCACTTCACACACCACAAAATACCACAAAATTGGGTACTTGGGGGTGCAGTTGAGGTTATTAATGGGTATAACCATGGTTGTTTTTACCCCCATAAGTTGGTATATTACCCCACTGTAGCTATGTATGGAGCTACGGCCATCTATTCGCCATTAAGGGAGACTACACCCCGATTCGTATGGTTTATCATAAGCCCTTACGTAACATTGGGTGTGTTTCACCTGTCAGCGAAAAAAGTGGGGGAAGTTTTCTCCAAAAAGCTGAAAATGATGGCAAAAATCTGAAAGTGGTGTTTTCCCCCCAATTCCAAGGGATTATCATTAACATTATCATGTACCATCTGGTTATTTAACATAGCCATGGAAAATCACCATTTTTCATAGGTAAACCATCTATAAATGGGCCATCTATACCATGGCTATGTGAGTCATAACCAGAGGGTATTATCAGCATTTTTCCATGAATCCATGTCATGGGGACAACCTTTGCCCCTACTTTTTGGACAACCTTCCCGGATTCCCCGCTTCAGGAGACCAGTGGGAGACTACCACATTGACGTGCCTGATACGAAGGTGTTGGGAACTTCCATTTGGAGATCTGGTCATGCTATCAGCAGTGTACTGTATATACATGTGTCTACTGTCTGCTGTACACACATGTATATATATATATACATATACACAAATAACAAGAACAATACTGACAATGGTAATAACACAAGTATTGATTATGATGATGATGATGATGATGTTAATTTTGATGATGATGATGATGATGATGATGATGATGATGATGGTGTCATATAGTAGTAGAGTTAGTCGGGCTTCTCAATTTCAGGAGACAACGTCCCTTGGGGCCCCTCACCCTCAGATTGACATAGCTGCAGAGTTGCACACTCTCAAGACAGGAAAGCCACCTGTGCCATTGTTCGTTCGAACTGAAATGATTACAATGATTTCACTACAAGGTACCACAAGTGTTGGTAGTTGCGTCGGGTCTGAGACCATGTATTTCCCTTCTCAGGATATGGATAGACCATGTTTTCTTTTTCGAATCATTGAAAATCAGGCATTTTTGACGCGCTCATGTGCCTTTTCTCTCTGACTTCTGGTTCATTCAGTGGGTTCTGATTGGCTTCTTTGCTGGTTGCATTGACATTTTTTGCCGATATTCCAATTGTGGTCGCATGCTTTCAAATGTCTTGATCCTTTCTTCCGTCACACTAAAAAACTCTCCTCGTCGAAAACTTCAAGTCTACTCCCAAATTGTCCAGTCCATTCTCCTCCATGGCGAGTCCCAAGTCTACTCACCAGCTCAAATCACTGGTTTTGATTCCCTCCATTATAAGGCCCTTCGACAAATCTTTCAGATTAAAAGTCCCTATCACAGAGTTCTCGATCCCTCTGATGCTCCTTGCTCAAATTAATTTCTTCTATCACTTGCCTAGTCCTTCCCACCCTTTATCCTCCTTTTATTAAAATTTCTGACCGTAGAATTCAGTATCTCGGTCACATACTTAGCCATCTAGTCCCGAGTCACTTATTTGCTTCAACCCTATATAGAGGACCCCCCTTGGCACCATTAGTTCCCCTTGGCGCCCAGGGCTCAGCCAGGCCATTCTATAGCCACTTTACCATAGTTGAACTAAAATCAACCGGTACAATAGCCATGGTATAGATGGCCCATTTATAGATGGTTTACCTATTAAAAATGGTGGTTTTCCATGGCTATGTTAAATAACCAGAGGGTAATATGATCAACCGGTACTACTCAACAACTCCATGCTCTCCTTTCTGCTGAAGACAGAGAACTGTGGAAACACCTTACCCCAAAAATAAAATAAGAGCCAGCGAAGTGAACTCCCCCTCTAGGGTTGCTGCTGGCATGTAGCCCAACAGCGGGCCACATATCGCGTGGAAAAAAAGTCCAATTGTGGATGGTTTTCTTTTCAGTTGCTGCGAAAACCTGGGTTTGGCTGGTGATTCGGCTGGTGATTCGGTTGGTGATTCTAAGCCACATGTGCATGAATTTGCAGTCATATCCTCAAGAAAAAACACACAGAGTAAGATGAAGCATTTTGTTGGTTTCATTGGGGGTACTAATTTCATAGCAACCTCCAGTCGTAGCATCCTATTGACATCATTGTAGATTTGTATACTCTGGTTGGTGGTTTGGAACATTTGGATTATTTTTCCCATCATATTGGTAATGTCATCATCCCAACTGACTGACTGACTCATATTTTTCAGAGGGGTAGGTATACCACCAACCAGTACTGTACCTTTTCAATATTTCCTGGGGTACCTTAAAATTGTGTTCCTGATGGTCCAGGCGGATGACAGTGGCTCCTCTCGACCTCAGTGCGTTGACCTAGAGACTTAGAGGTACCGGTTGGTACCTCCTTAGAGGGCCCCAGATCCAATGGTTGACCATCTTCCCGAAATGGTCATTGTTCAATGGTATTCCCTCCATTTTCAGACGAATATATATATATATATACACATATTTATCATGATTTATCCATATATGTTGTCATACATATTCTTTGGATTGTAAATCATTCAATTCTTGAGGCCCCAATGGCTGTTGCTGACAGCGATGCTGTTCCTTTTCCGAAAGATGAAGGCTGCTGGCCGATGAAGGCATGGCTCAAGCATGGTTTAAACAGATCTCCACCATTGCACCCTGTGGCAACGAATTTTCCCTACCTTGGATGGTCCCAGGGATTCTTTTTAACCCACCGTGATCGCATAAAATTCGTTCCCTGGGATTCGATCCTGGATGGTCTGCCAGATGGGGGTTTCCATCAATGGGGGTAGCCCCATAGCTGGATGACTAATAGACAAATCCGATGTTTACCATGATTTGAAATGGATGAATTAGGGGTAGCGCCATGAATTAAGAAACCTCCAGATCCCTCTTCCAAAAAAAAACCTTCCGCCATGGCAAAGTTAGATCCCGGCCAGCCAGTGCTGGTGTTGGCTGCTGGATGTGGGGGGATCAAAGAATTGCAGGAGACGTGTGGGATCCTGGACCACCCAGCTCGCCAGATTCTGGCGAGATTTTTTGTGTGTCTGCCATGGTGGATTTACATAAAAAAACATGGAAAAAACCATCATTTAACAGGAAACATCGGGCCTTAAACCAGAATGGTTTCGTTTTCCCTATTTTTTCAAATGTGGCTCCATTGCTGGACAAAGCCAGATGTCCTCAAAATCAAGGAGTATGTCCTGATGTTGATGAGTTGAGATTTGATGCTTTTTGGTAGTGTTTGGGTCCTTGGAAAGGTGGTGATCAAAAGGGAAGTGTCAGAAACCTCATGATGACTCATGAAGTGATGCTGTTTGGGCGATTGTTCACCAGCACCAAGGCTACCTGGGAACGCTCCGACTTGGTTTAAGGGAAGATCCACAAGAACTCCTAAGATATTTGCCGATCTCCTGGTCAAACCCAATTGTCTTTCCTGTAATTTTTCGATGAACAACACATCCACAGATTGGAAATCCGTTCGCCAAATCTTCGGTCTTGCGTTTGTGTATATATATATATGTATACAACTACCACCTGGCTTTTGTGTAGCCGACCCTTTTGGGGCCACCCCTTTCGCCCCCCCCCAGGAGCACGTCGACGCTTCGTCGGTGCAATGGGCTTTGCTCCAATTCTGCGTGGGCGAAGGCACCCTGAAACGACAGCGGCTGCTGTTCCTGCACGTCAATGGGCAGGACAAGAAGGGGGAGGGGAAAAAACCGGTGCTAGGATCATGGATTCACATGGAAAATCATGCAACATCCAGCAACATCCAAGATTCTAATCATCTTGTAGAATGTAGACTCAACAGCATTTATTCATATTTATTCTTAGTTCTTTTTTTTGAGTGTCGATTTTGCCTCTTGGAGATTTCCAGAGGTCAGGTTGGTCAGGTCACGAATAGCCAGGTCCGGGGCCCAGTGACAAATGGCTCCAATGCTTGCTTTTTGAGTCGGCTAGGTTGGCGAAGTTTCAATTGTTTATGGCTAACTGGCTAACTCCCAATTTTTAGTACTTGACTCCAAAGAGGTGATGGTTAACTCAGTTAACTCCCCATATTTTTCCGTAAAACATCACATTTTTGATGCTTGACTTCCCCAGTTTTTCGTGGTTTACAATACCCATTTTTCCTGGTGAGCTTCACCATTTATGGTGAAAACTCCACAGAACATTCCTGGTTCGACTCCCTGGAGGATTGTCCCCCCATCGCTCGGGGCCGCGCCAACGAGCTGACTGCCAGTGTGCAGCAGATCTTGCGCGAGGGCACCGGGCAGGCAGAGGCCCAGGGGGGCCCTGGGGGGTTTGGAGCAGTTCGGAGCTATGGGTATTACCCTGTGAACCATGGGGAACCATGGGGAACCATGGGGAACCATGGGGAACCATGGGGAACCATGGGGAACCATGGGGAACCATGGGGAACCATGGGGAACCATGGGGAACCATGGGGAACCATGGGGAACCATGGGGAACCATGGGGAACCAAGGTAACCCCAAAAAGGCGATTTCGGAAATGGGAATCGAAGGGAAATCGGAACAAGATGTAACCAACAATCTGGGTGAATCAGAACGAGCTCACCACAATGTCACCACAAATGGTTTGTTGGCAAGGGGACGCACATCGAAAATGACATAGTTAAGTCAGGTTGGTGATTTGTTGCAAGCCAGCCAGCCACAACAAAACTCGAGTAATAACCAACGAGAAAGGGACTAGGATGGAACACAATCCCTAACAATTGTTGAAGGCATAGCATAATCCCAAAAAGCTTGAAATGCAATGGAACACACTTTAGCTCTTTTGTAGGTTGCGACAATGTGGGATAGAATGGGATGTGATGTAAAGGTGGTTAGTACTATGAGCCTATCAATGTGGCTATGTCTCAAAATTACCAAGCAAGAAGTGATACATTAACCCCTGGAAATCAGGACAGATGGGTTGAAGTCCTTTAAAAAGAGGGATGAACCGCACCATTTCATGACATTTTTGGTAATATATGGACATTTAGACCGGAAGATTCAGGGAAACAAATTGGTGACTTAATGTCGCTTAGCTCAGTCTTAGCTCACATTTGATCATTTCACCGTTTTTTTTAAAATCTTTTTCTCCCCATGCTTTTTTCAACGTGGCAATGGCCGAGTGGCCGAGGCGTTTCACGCCTCAGTCGAAGTCAAGGGTCCTGAAGAGGTCACGGTGGAGAGGCTGCTGGAGCGGGTGCTGCCGTTCTTCGTGGTGGATCACCAGGAGTACTCCGTGCAGTGGCCGCTTGGAACGGCGTGGTGAACCACGGCGTGGTGAACCACGGCGTGGTGAACCACGGTCGGAGATGCGGTTTTTTTAATGGGATTTACTGATTTACTGGTGATTTTTGGTGATTTAATGGGATTTACTGGTAATTTAATGGGATTTACTGGTGATTTAATGGGATTTATGGTGATTTAATGGGATTTACTGGTAATTTAATGGGATTTACTGGTGATTTAATGGGATTTATGGTGATTTAATGGGATTTACTGGTAATTTAATGGGATTTACTGGTGATTTAATGGGATTTACTGGTAATTTAATGGGATTTACTGGTGATTTAATGGGATTTACTGGTAATTTAATGGGATTTACTGGTAATTTAATGGGATTTACTGTTTTTTTTTTTTGCAGCCTGATACTCTGAGTGCCGCGCGCGAAACTCAGCAAGGCAACGAAAGCACAATTAATCAGCGAAAGCAGGAAATGATCTGAGGACAGAGAAGGGAATATCAATGGACCGACAGGACACACCAGGACCTCTACCAGAGGGAGACCCACCTGAATAGCCAATTTGAGCAGAAGAATGAACACTCAGGAAAGTGACTTTGTGAATAGAGACGGGTTTGAACAACCCAACAAAACCACTCATCCTCCCAAAATAGAGGTCGCGGAGATTCATGCAATGATGATATGAAGTGAATTTTCCTTTGCAGAAACGGCGAAAACGGGTCTTGAATTGATTCAAAAAATGTTGAAGTTTCTTGCCGTCAACCCACTCGGGTAAATCAGGATAACAACCCACAAAGTCAAAAAACACCAAGACCCATGGAACTTTGGGCCCTTGCTGATTGACCAGAAACTCTACACAGACATCCTGGGTGTACCTAGACAAAGCCTGGAAGTACTCACCAGAATAATTCTGCAACCTAGACCTAGCATTCCGCTGGTCCAGCTGAGGAAAGACATGGGGTTGAACAATGACAGAGGTGAAAGAATCCCGAAAAGTTTGATAAACGTCCCAGAGTCTGTCGAAGTCATTCGGGCGAACGGTCCCGTTTTCACACTTGGTCAAGAATTCACTGTTACACTGCTCAGGAAAAAGGTGTGAAGGGGTTGGATCACTCGGAGGTTGGTCTGACGGGCACAAAAATTGGCACGCACATCGTTCGCCCAGCGTGGCAATGATATGGCATTGCCATGACACAGCCACTGTGATCAACTTACGGTAAGGTTCGAGCTTGGCTCTAAACGCATCTCTAGCTACAGCCCTAGCGGCTGCATCCACCATGCTATTTCCATACGTAAGATATGGATCCTGACTAGACTTTGCCGTACAATGGGCCTTTACTTTTATGATATGCACCCTACCAGGACGAGATTTCGCAACGGAGCAAACCAAATTCCAGCAATCCCAGTTGTCCAACTTGTGAATCCATTCGCGAGAAAAATCAGCATCTTGAAGCCTTTTGAAAATTCGAACAACCGTCAAACAATCACTAGCAATGGTGATAGGACCACTGGAATGTGACAACGCCAATGCTGCTGCAAAAATTTCCGACCTCTGGCTCGTGCAATCTTGCGTGGGGAGGAGGCACGCAAAATTGCACTCCGTGGAAAGAAAATATGCTGACGCAGCCGTGGCAACCTGGTGCCAATTGCTTTTGTAACAAGACCCATCAATAAAAACAATCTCAGTCGGGAAAAAAGGCCCACCCGGTCGCTCGGGGCACGTGAGACAACATGATTCGAACTGAAAAGGGGGAGAAAACACAACCCCTGTCAACATAGTGACGTCATGACCAGGCTCGACTGGCGCAGGCCTCGTTCTGGAATAAGCCGGGCAATCACAAAACAAATGCCTCACAGTCTCCTTTTCCCCACACGAGATGCACAAATTATCCGGGGCCAAGCCAGCAGCATGAAGCCGAGAGGAAGTGAAAACACGGCCCGTCTGTGCCATCCGCAGCAGGTTCTTACTGTAGGCCCAACTTCGGGGGATTTTGTCAACATGAGGCTTGAGGAAATCAAACTCTTCATCGCTCCTCATCTTTTGATCAAACAAGAACCTCGTGAGTGAAATGTCTAGCAAGTGGCCTTCAGGAATCCTGCATGTTTCTTGGCGCACCGGCTGCTGCTTGAAAAGATAAGTTCTAACGGAAGAAGCGACAATACCAGAAAAATATTGGTCGCTCCATGCGCTGAAGGGGAATGACCCATGAGGTGTGGATACTGTGAAATCATCAGGTGATATAACTGCCCAATTCAACTCAGACAATATATACGACAGCACATTTGAAAAACCATGACAGGCTCCTGATTTCGGCGTGGGATCTCTGAGAACAGCTCCTAACGCCCTTTTTGCAATATTTGGGTGGAATTTGACGAGTTTGCGAGCATGGTTCAAGACATGACATGCCCACTTTGCAAACGGATCCAGAAATACATCCTCCAATGTAGCCATGACAGCAAAAGGTGACCGCATGTTGTGAGATGAGGGGTCAAAAATATCACACACTTGCGTACGCAATTTTTGAAGATCTTTCTTGGGGATGCCCTGTGTTTCACTACCGAACACCCATTTGGAGTGGGCATGTGCATGAATGTACACAGACTTCTGGGGAGGGGACAGTGGCAACTGTCGAATCTTTTTAAGACAGTCGCTCGCCTTTGCTACACGGTTTGATTGCATTGTAGCGTTACGGCACTTATTCATCTGTTGAACACGTCCTAGTGATTTAACCTGGGAAGAAACCTGAACTGGGAGTTGGATTTTCTGCTTCAACAGCTTTCCTTTGAGGACCCTTCTAGCCAGGATTTCAGTTTTCTGGGGGTTGAGTTGTTGACCAATGTCTTTATCAAATTGCCGCACAAATTCAAACGCTCCAGCAATTTCATCAACATAGTGGAAGGAACCCCATATTTTTGCATCATCAATAAAGGTCGCAATGGAGACATGATGAAACTGGTTGGTCATGGCCCTGGTCATAATGGAATAGAACGCATTTACCATTAAAATTGACATAGAACAACCTTGAATGGCACTGTTTTTGGAAAACACCTTCCGCCCATAAAATCGTCCAATCTTGAATATCTTGATTTGGCCCCGATAAAAACCAGTCAAAGCCCTCGCTACGTTAAGGGGAAGCCCAATGTCACAAGCTATCTGAACAGCAAAATCAGGTACCAACATGTCAAAACATTTTGCACGATCTAAAAATATGGCGATGGGATCAGGATTCTGGTCATGTTCATGAAATTCAAGGGACAAGTCGATCTCATGGGAATCAGCACTCCGCCCGGGTATCCCTCCTAGAAGGCATGATGGGGCGATTGAATTCATCCATGTCGATAAATGTCTAAATCTGAGGGAAGACCACAAAGAATAGACAACACTGCTGACACCAATGGCGCGAATCTGATTCGGGTTCAAAACAGGTCCGTCCTTTTTAGGCAAACATGTCACAGTGATACACTTTACAATGTTCGGCCATTCACCTACAGCTTCAACTAGTTTGCATACAAGGACAAAGAGCTGCCAAGCTGACACAGGAAGTTGCTGCAGTTCCCGATATGACCACATGTCAAGACCGGAAGCCTTGGTAGGGGACTTGCTTTGACACAAATCCCAAAAATCTTGCTCATTCAAACTGGGAACACTAGCCTCGCAGAACGTTTGAGAAATTGAATCCCGATACTTCTCGCGAAATATTCAATCTGGGAAGGGGTATCCCATTCCATGTGTTGATTGTATACACTTTCCATATGGTCTGAAACAGGTTCCAGCATTTCAGATACCGATCCGGACAAGGAACCGTCACTTCGCTGCATCAGTCGCGGCACTGTAGCGAAAGAACCTTTCAACCACCTGTGTACCAACTTTTTGTCGGCTGCGTTTGAAATACGCAGCTTCTTTCGCCAGGCCCTCAGCCCTGAAGCTTTGACTTTCTGGTCGTACTTCTGATCCCAATCTTGGAAGGTTTGGAAATCACTTGAAAAATTCTTTCGTTCTGACAAGAAACCCTCAGGGAAAGGAAAGCAAACCGCCTGGAGTTCACGCTCCAACTTATGAAGGGTTTGATTATAAGAATTTCGCCAAGCAAAGGAAATATTGGACTCAAAAACAGAAGCCTTTCTGATCATTTCCCGGAACAGAGCAGAGATGCGAGCAATTCGCTTTGTTCGAAGCGCGACTTCTTTGGGCTTATTTACAACAGGGGTGACCTGAAACCTGGGGAAAAAACCTTTCTGAACACCAGCGCTTCCGGAAATAGCATCTAACATCGATGATACAGCCTGGCATGCCAAGCTCCAAGTAAGCTCCACATCTAAGGATTCGGCACTTTCTGCCACTTTCGGGGCAAACTCACGGAGTATAGGTTCACATATGGAATCCCTTTGGGCCCATTGGTCAAGGCAGCTAGGTTTTGGTGGGAAAATACGTCTTGAACTGGAAGGAATTGTAAAAGCTTTGTCGACAGTGCTAGGAATCACCAAATGAAGCCCAACCGGGCAATGATCAGGAAGGCCGGATTTTTGTTGAATCCAACTTTTCTTGAAGAAAGTGCAGCCATCACTATTGGCAAGAACATAATCAATACGGGACATACACCGCCGCCTCCCTTTTCCCCTCTGAAACGTGAATGGAGGTGGAAGGTTGGCAGCAGCATACTCATCTGCAATGACATCAACCCACTCTCCGGTACGAATCGCCTCTGAAATAGCTTGGTTGGCTGAGGGGCTAGAGTTAAAATCACCACAAATAAAAGTGGGACCATCACCGAGACTAGCCGCAAACAGAAATACCTGAGTCATAATCTCAGACCTCTTTGAAACATGGCGTTGACCGGAGGGTAGGTATACGTTGATGATTCGACAAGTGAAAGAACCAGCTGTACAAGTACATGCCTGCGCAGCTTTTTCCAAGCCAAAATCTTGAGGAATTAAGAGCGGTTGCAAAGCTACAGTATTGCGGGCCAGGATCGCGATCCCCCCATGTGTTTGACGTCGGCAAGGTGCATGAAGCCGGCTAACAGTCCTCTTAATGACCGGCTGAGGGCCAATCAAAACTGTAAAGCCTTGCGTTCGCAATTTGGATACAAGATTCTTGCTTTTGAGAGGGTGAAGTCGTGTCTCTTGGAGACACATGAAATCGGGAGTGGTTTCGTCAGCACATATTGCAACAACACTTTTCACATTCTTACCCAAAGAAGTAACATTAGCAGAACCAAAGCAAAGAGGGCCTTCACCGGGATAACCTTTGCACGGAGAGAAAAGAGACCAAAGGACCACAGAGGACGACACACAATGGACATAATTCAAATCAAAGAAACAAATGCAACATTTCCTGCTCTCGCTGAGAGACCATACGCTTAGTGAAGCGTTTCGCGATCTCTGCAATGAAATGTGATTAATTTGACTTCCCGCCCCTGCATTTCCAGTGCACATAGCATCGTTGCACCAGAAGGCGTTGAAAGTGCTGGGTGAAAAAGAATTATGAATTAACCCCGCCAGTCCCAATCTAACGAGGCAGCATCTTAATTTGATCCGATTTGCCCGGAGAAGTCTGCGGACTTTTTTGGCACTAACAGCACTCCTCTTACCTCGGGGGACTTCCCTCTTAGAAAGGACAACCAAGGATGGCTTTTTCAGAAGATGCAAATGGATCACAGACGCTGCCCGGATGCAGTTCCTAGGCTTGACACACATCCAGCCAGCTAGGTTCAAACAACACATCAACCACAAAACATACCAAGCACCGCCGTGAAGCAGAAAAAACAAAATAACCACCGACAATCTTTTACACATGCTCAGCAACGCTGGAAATGCATCGAAAGCCGCCAGCGGACATGGCACATGCGCCTCAAATGCCGGTTTCGTACAAGAACCCATCACTTCTTCAAGCTCTTTCTTGCCGGTGATGCCTTCTGAGATGAAGAGGACTCTGCGCTCAAGGCCTGGATGGCTGCCATCAAGTCTGTGAATCCCCGATCTTGGCGATGGCCAAGGTCCACAAGGTTCTTTTCGAGCATCTCCTGGCTGGTACGGAGCCCTTTCACATCTGACTGAACTGTGCCAAGTTGGGCTTCGAGCTGCGTGACCCGTGTGGCCAGGCTGGTTGATGGAGCATTCTGGCTGACTTGTCCTGAAGATGAGGACACCGTGGAAGGTGTAGATATGGGCGGTGGAGCAACTCTCTCCCTCTTGGGCCATTCCTTGCTGGCAGGGGTCTGCTGAAATGACCGTGGCCGGGACGGAGTAGGAGCAATGACGGCACTTCCCTTCTGAGTTGGAGTCGGCTTCTCGGCCAAAGTCAAATGGAGCATGCCAATGCTGGTTGAATACTTCAATTTGGCAGGCGGGTCTGCCCCTGCCGCAAGAACCCTGGACAATTGTCGGAGGTTCGTGATGCGAACCGGGATGGCTATCCAACCGATGCTTTCCAAAGCTTCGGTCACCTCCCGGATAGCCACCCCCAAGGGAAAACCCTCTACCACATAGAAATGCTTCATCTTGATGCCAATGTTCTGGACGGTGAACCTTTCATCATCCGGATAGAAGAACTTTCTTGCTGCAGCGATGGTCGGATCTGATGTCCGGAAGAATGTCTCGCCTTGAGACCGGAAAAATCCAAGAGCACCACTCAATTTGCACTCTTCGGCCAGGACAGCCAATGTCTTGTCAACATCAATCCGCAACACTTCAAGCCCACTTTCCGCAGGATCCGTCATTGAACGAACTGCGCGGATCTGGACACTTGAGAGGCCTGACATGCGATAAAGTTGATCACGGTGAGCGGCTGGAATCTGTAGACGCTGGCACCAATAGCCTTGCCGGGAGAAAGGCTTGTAGCGAACCGTCTGCTCGCACATGCCACATTTTTGGAGCAAAATACGGACGTATCCCTCAAAAGCCTCACTGCTGCTGAGGTCAGTCCAGTCTTTCGAAGTTGCATCAGACTGTCTCAACTCTACAAAAACCGGCATTCTGTTCACAGTTTGAACGCTGAGCAGATGGTCGGCTTTTGGCAATTCAACGAAGTCATCTTCTGAAGCACTCATGTTGACCAAAGTAACTGCTCTAAGTTCAGTGGTCTTTGCTACTTCATCTCGAACTCCGATATTTGTGCAAATGAGCCTTTCTGGCCCAAAACCCATTTTTGCCAGCCTCTCATTGTCAAAGCCCTTGATGACCAGGATAAGAGGACCGACTGTCCTCACATCCGAAACCTTCTCTGCAGATGCAATTGTAGCAAAAGAGATGCCACAAGAAGACTCCTCAACCATGGAAATTGGCCAATGCTCCATTCGGCATTCACCTTCCCAAGAAGGAAAGATCAAATCATCCAAGTCTGCAACTCGAAGGCCTTGACGGGCTGCCGTGCTTTCCCAGGTAGCAAACTTCCCACCGCCCCGCAAGCGAGGTAGCACAAGGAGGTGACCACAACCACCCGGGTACACATCCCGGATCAATTCATGAGGAGCAAGCTGACGGCTATGTGTGGCAAGTCTGACATCACCTTTGCAGTGAAGAATCTCTTTGACCTCCTCAATGGACCAGGACGCATCCGCACTGATCATCCGGGTACCTGGAATGCCTTTCACAAAGATTCTAGCGATGTAGGTTTGCGATTCCGGAGAATGGTCAATGAGGCAGGAATCCATGGCCCGCGACTGCACCGCAAACGCGGCAAAAGGCAAACTATGTACCCCGGGGGGAAGAAAGCTAATTGGAAAAGGTGGTTTCCAAAAGCTGAACATTGCAGGAGGATACCAGAACAAAAAGAAAAGCAATGTCACCATTGGTTGAACCCACCTGTTCGTAACAGCCCCCACGATCGTGAACGTTGGTGATGTGGGAGATCCGGGGATCACGCCCTGGTCTTGGACCAGAACGGCTAATGGGATTTACTGGTGATTTAATGGGATTTATGGTGATTTAATGGGATTTACTGGTAATTTAATGGGATTTACTGGTGATTTAATGGGATTTACTGGTGATTTAATGGGATTTATGGTGATTTAATGGGATTTACTGGTAATTTAATGGCATTTGATGGAGTGAAGAGTCCTCCATTTTTTTGGGGCTAGGGATGTATTTGATATGAGGGTCATCTGAAGATTTGATGTGAGCATGGTTGCTGGCAAGTTTCAAGGTCCCTTTTTTCGGGGGCCCGACTATTTGACCCACTTGGCAGTAACTGGGATGATTAAGATATGGCTGTGTCTGAAAATAAGATACACACCCAATTTATGGTCATTAACCACCAATTAGTTACTAGTTAACCTGATTTGCTCGAACCTGTTTTTTCCCCCAAACTTTTTGGAGAAGCCCATCGAATCTAGTGGCTAGTTGGAACTTAGTGGAGGAGGTGCAATTCCTGAGACGAATATGTTTTCTGTATGTGAAACACAGCATATAACCCATAGGCACTATGATGGCAATATTGTGGTCTCCTAAAATGGTGGTACCCCAAAATAGGATGATAACTGGGGGGTACCCCCATTTTAGGAAACCTCAATATGTGTAAGTCCCGGTTTGTGGATGATCCCATTTATAAATGGGTTATCCCACTACTTTCTGGTGGGATGATCCTCGATTGAATCACCTTCATATTCGAACAGACACAAACTCCCAGCCATGTTTATCAAACACAAAGGAGGCTACAAGCAATTGTTCATCCCCTTTAGGCCCGAAGTCCATTTTTTAATGAATCACTGAGGTTACAATCTCACTACGACCGACAACTCGAGGAGGCTCAATCCCCCGCAGCTGCCCCCGACACGGCCCCACCTGAAGCCAGCGTGCGCCGGTCGACCGCGGGAGAGTCCAGTGCAAAGAGGGGAACGGTGTTTGAAGCTTGGTGGGAGATCACAGAGGTTTACGTGCCTGCATCATCTATCTCTATACTGTATAATATACACATATACTGTATATATATATATTATACATATACTGTATATATATATTATACATATACTGTATATATATATATATACATGTATGTATATGTATAAATACACATTCCAATTTTACCTGCCCCCAACTTGGCTGGGTGGCTGGGTTCACAGAAGCTGTCATTTCCTGGGAAACGAGCCGTTTCGAAAGGCGGATCTTCCATCGTCAGGAGATGGGCACCACGAGCTTCGACAGTGGCCGTGATGCCTTAAAGGCCGTGGCCGAGTCTCTAGGCGCCTGGAACTGGGTCTTCTTCAGGGCCACCGGGGACGTCGTGGCCGTTGAGGATTTAAGCGTGGTGGCTGGTGGCATCGGCAGTGTGGAGGAGATGCAGAGCTGTTATGAAGAACATCCGCAAGACGCTGAGTGAATGACATGATGGTATTTTTTTGGGGGTATGGGATGGGATGATGCTGAGGATGATGAGGATGAGGATGAGGATGATGATGATGATGAATATGTTTTTCTTGATTACACATTGTTGATGTCTTTTTTTCAGTGTCACATTTTGGGATAGGTGGGTTATTGAAAAGGGGACATTCTGTTGCAGGAAACCTACGGGGCTGCTGTTTATCACCCAACATTTTAGGTCTGTTTCTGTAGGGATTTTTGATCTGGGGATGGGCCAACAGGCCCGGAGTTGGCTTGGATTTTTCATGAAAGGTTGGGTGCCCAAGTTTGACCCATATCGTGTCTTGTGGTTCTTTGAACACACACACACACACGCACATATTATGCGCGTGTGTGTATATATATATACATACATACATACCTACCTACCTACGTACGTACGTACGTACCTACATACATACATACATACATACATACAGACATACAGACATATAGACATATAGACATATAGACATATAGACATATACATATACATATAGACATATAGACATGTAGACATACAGACATACAGACATACAGACATACAGACATACATACAGACATACAGACATACAGACATAAAGACATACAGACATACAGACATACAGACATACAGACAGACAGACAGACAGACAGACAGACAGACAGACAGACATACATACATACATACATACATACACACATATATAGATATAATTATATTTATAGCTGTATATATATATATATGCCTGTATATATATATATGTATGTATATTTATTCATACATGCACACAGAACTTGATCAGCCCGCACTTACTTTGGGATTGGTGGTTCCACGTTCGTTAGTTCAACCAAATATCGTTGGTGAATAGATTCGTTCTTGTTGTTTCTATCCTGTCCACTCTCATGCTCCGGTTTGTTTCGCTATAGAAAATCAACATTTTGAATAGGTAGCCCATCGAACTAAATCGGCCATGGCTTCCACAACTATATTAAATTGCCAGACCCATTTTCAAAGCATTTGGGGTGGCCAGCCACCAAGGACGTTCTCTTTGGTCTGCTCCGCATGGGTTTCGGTCAGGGCCGCCTGCGGCGGACCAAGTACGTCTTCATCCACGCCATAGGCGACAAGGTGCCCGCGGTGACGCGTGGGAAGAAATCCGCACAGCGGCCTAAGATGGAGGAACTCATGGGAAGTTACGCCAGCATTTCAGTGATGCTTGGGCCGAAAAGTGCAAAGATGTACTATAAAGATGCTGTGGGGGTATATATGCAAACTATATACACATAAACTGAAGGCAAACAATTTCAAAGTCCTTGCGACTCGTGGGTAGTTTCAGAATATGTTTCATGCATGTTTCCAACATGACTGGGAATGCCCCAATATCTACTTGTTGGAGAGAGGATGTGCAGTTGACAGTTTAGAATTTTGCATTGGGCATCTTCAACAGGATATGTAAAATCCATTGCAATCCATTGGTCGATGATCATTTTCCAATATATTGTGTATATATATACATGGGTCATTAAATGTCCCCATTGAACATCACCCAACCACTAGGTATATGGTCTATAATGGCTACTATAAGGTGATGTCCAATATACCCCAAATGGGACAGTTACCAACCCCTGATATATAAATATCTAGTTGTATACGCAATACTAAAACACAATCATCAAGCAATGTCCGGGAATGGGTTTCAATGTATTGGTTTAAGGGAAAATCTTAACCGGAAACCATCGATTTTCTATGGGGGTTTCCCTGCAAAATTTCCCTTAAACCAATCCATTGAGGTTTGCTGTACCACATTGGTGCCCCAAGGACCATGGAACTGCTAACTACCAGCGACTTGACCCTGAAGTCGGTGGTGGATCGCGTGAGACGTGCGGTGGTGGTGGACGATGATGTGCTGGACAGAGACAAGGCGCCCGTAGCGTCACGGTGCGGCGTCAAAAGGGGGCACCTGTCGCATGGGGTAAACTAACATAGATGTGGAAAACCAATGGTTTCATATCTGGTTGGTGGTTTGGAACATTTTTTATTTTCCCATATATTGGGAATGTCATCATCCCAACTGACTTTCATATTTTTCAGAGGGATAGGGTTGAAACCACCAACCAGATATGGTTTCCCCAAGAACATGATCTACAAATGATCACTTTCCCACATCGAACTGTTAGTTTACAAGAGGGTAACTGGTAAATCTGGCAATGAGATACGACATGGGTTTGCCTGGAAAAAGGGATACAAAAAAACTAGCAAAAACCCTACTTGCTATAGCAATTCCCTGTTGGAAAGATGATGATAAACTCCATGGATTTTAAGATATTTTTTGGGGCAAATCGGAGAATTGGTTGTCGAGCCATCTTCTGGATTTATCATAAATGCCCTGATTTTTTGGGTTATCAGATTGACGGGTTCCCCCGATGTTTTCAAAGAAGCATCACCCAGCATGATTTGGGACTACCGTAGACTGGATCCCATAAGCCCCATGAATTTTATAGTCAGATGATGTCAGATGAATGAATCACCATTTATTATACATACCCTCTGGTTATGACTAACAGTTTGCCATGGGAAATGGCCCATAGAAATAGATGGTTTACCTATTAATAGCATGGTGGATCTTTCCAGTTCGCTAACTGTTAGTCATAACCAGATGTAACCCTTGAGATATGTGGCTTCACCGTCTTCACCAATTTCCGCTGGCCTCCTGCCCCCTTCAGAGGCGACCCCTTCGGTCTTCTCTATGGAAGCCTTTCAGCAAGCGCTGCAAGAGGTGGCTAAAGCGAATGCCGGTGTGGGATGGATAGATTTCCTATCCATTTTCGGATGGTCATGAATCTACAGGGAAATAATATGACATCATGAAATAGTGAATCATGAAATAGTCATCCATAGTTATTCTAGTAATAAGCGCCCCAAAAGATAGAAGTACATGATGTCATCAATAGCCATGATGTTAGGAGTCCCATTATGGGATGGATGACCATATTGCGATGACACATGTGATGATATATATATATATATACAAATATATATGAAGTACGGTAGATGTCATGTTGTTTATCCATATTTTTCCACTTTGAATGATGATACCAGCATTTATCCACAGTTTTGTTGGGATATTATGGGGATAAGACAACTATCTATCTATCCTATCCTATCCCATCCCATCCAATCCAATCCTATCCTATCTATCTATCCATCTATCGATATGAACATGTATATACTGTACAACCAACAATATGTGATGGGAGTGTCTGAATATGGGATACCGTGTATGAGACAACAGCTTTGATAGCGAAAAATATGATAAACGTACGTGGATTTTGGGATACCCTATGTTTAGACAAACCCATTTTACCACCCATTTTTTTTTGACCGGTTCCATGAGATTCTGCAGCAAATGGGTGTGAGTCACCAGTCAATTCCCTCTAGAAACCTCTGGTTTAGCCCCGGCCCTATTCAAAAATTAGCCCATCTTAAGGGAGGTATTTTAATATGATCGGGGGGAAGGAATTGCTTACAATTTGGTTCATTCAACTCCCATGCTTGAGAGGAACATCCACCTTTAAGATGCACCAAGGATAGTGGTTGATAGTTTTTTTTTTTAAATTTGTCATGCTTAAATGACCAAATGGGGCATTTTTCACATTTGGAAGATTCGTGACTGTGCGTCTGTGACTCGCTGAGTGAATCGTACTGGGATGATGCCTGAAGTGATAGGACAGGACAGGATAGGATAGGCAATAAATGGAATTTTCAGATGTAGACATCAGGTAGACATCAGAAAATTCACGTGTTCAGAAAATGTGTTCCTTCGCGACATCCCCCCCTTCGGGGATCATCTCGAGGAGAAGAAAAGTCGTATGGAAGAGATTCGCGCACAGAGAAAACTCCGTATGGAGCAGAGCGAAGCGACGTCGCGCGAAGGACCGGGTCGGGACCTGGTCTTTTTGAGGTCCTTCAGATTGGCGAAAACTGATGACATCTGGATCCTACTGGATCTTCCCATATCTTCCCAAACATGTAGTTCGGGCATTGTTGCATACTTATTCTTCCGAATAAGATGGGTTGCATCTTCAATCCCAGGTGATTTAACGCTTGGATTATGATACCTTTTCCCATTGTGGCTCACAAGCTGCTCTCCATGTTGTCCCTTTATGCAGAAAGGGTTCAAACTCATAGGAACAATGTTTCTGAGATGTGTGGGATGCTTTTACTCATCCTTTCTGAAACCAAGGACACGGCAAGATGGCGTTCTTTGTTTTCTGAACATTATTGGTTTCATCGCACATTTCATCGTAAAACTTCATCATAGCATCATCATCATCAGCATCAGCATCAGCATCAGCAGCACCATCACCACCCACCCACCCATCCATCCATCAATCCATCAATCCGTCATCCATCATCCATCATCCATCACCATCACATCACCATAACCATTGTCATCACACACACATGCTTATATATATATAGAATGCACATGGCATCTAGCATGAAATGATACCATGTATGTTTACACTTACACTTACACTTACTTACACGCACACATGATCAGAACTGTCGTTGCGAATTTTGCTGTGGAATGCATCGAACGTGCAAACGCACCAACTATAAAATGACATATAGATATATAGAATTATAATCACAGGAGACAATGACAGTATAAGTCAACAGCGATAGAATATAGGTGCCCCCCCAGCTGCGACTTAAATGCGCCCAGGGGCGGGACTATACATATACATATAGCTGCAGGTACAGCAAACCGGCCACGTTTCCCTTCCCACTCATGCCCACAGCTTCATTGCGCGTGGTAGGACATGAGTGCCACACGCCCCTGCAATAATAAGAAGTTTTACATCTATTCAGATGGTACACACACATGCACACCCTGCCGCAGCAGGGTGGATGAAATGAACATGAAAATGAGATGGAAATGACCATGACATGACAAACTACCTAACCGGAACACGAGACGGGGAACGCAAAAGAAGACGGGAAAAAGGGAGAACACCAACACCAACACACCTAGCCCAGAACGGGCAAACCCAGAAAGAGCAAGGGAGAAGAAAAAGCGGACGGACGATGGGCCAAACACCGACCAGAGGAGTGGGGGGCGGACGGAAGCGCCTGACACAACCTACAAGGCGAGAGCCAAACCTACCTCGGCACGCGAAGGACCCAAACCTGACCTGACACGGGTGCATAAAAAGATGCATCCATCAACCAGTGCAAAGATTCGTGTTCAGGCTCAAAGGCCCTCCAATTTCAAGTCAAAACCTTCTGGACGGCTTAAGTGGTCAATTAGTGCACAATTGAACCTCACCAGATCCACCAAAAGAAAGTGACCACACCTGAAAGGCATGTCCTGAAGCCTGAACCTTGGCATGTTGCAATATTCCAAGCTGATCACTCACCCGAGCAACGCTGCGAAAATTTCTGAAAGCTACACATCGACACCCAGAGTTAGCGCCCAAAGAGCGGCCAGTTGTTCAGAAAATGGCGATAGCCCAAAAAGCGGCCAATTGTTTTACCAGCGACATCCAACAGGGTGAACATCGAAAAAATGGACGACTGTTTCACTTTACTTAAACGAAGTACCAGGTGAAAAGTGTAAATTCAGAGATCAAGTCGAAGGATCAAACATCCTACCTAGACAGGTATTCCCGGAGGGGCTCATGTCACCTTGACGAACCGACATGAGTAACACACTTGATCAGAACTGTCGTTGCGAATTTTTCTGTAGAATGCAAAGGACGTGCAAAAACACCAACTATTAAATGACACAATGAATATACTTATACACATATAGATATATAGAAGTATAGTCACAGAAGACAATGACAGTATAAGTCAACAGCGATAAAATATAGGTCCCCCCCAGCTGCGACTTCAATGCGCCCAGGGCGGGACTATACATATAAGTATAGCTGCAGGTACAGGAAACAGGTCCGCAAGCCCCGCAACAAGCTCCGCAAGCTCCACAAGCTCCACAAGCTGCGCCGCTCCAGGATCTGCCTACTCCGACCGTTCGGTAACCTCAATGGTGTCGCTCTTGCGCAGCGACCGCGAGGCTCTCAACTGGCTGCTGCTGGGCCCCGACCCAACGTGGCTGCGGCGCCGTGGCACTAGTGCAGGGTACCCGACAAAGACGGAGCAGTTAGTGGTGCCAGGTGCGAGAAAATCCGGGGCAGATGGGGTTTCGATGATGGAAATATGATGGAATATACCTTCTGGCATCTTCTGGCAATCAAACATGGCAATTGAAAATCCACTATATATATAAATAGATAATTTGATGGGAAAATCAATTGTTAATTTGGGACTTTCCATTGCCATCTTTGATTGACAGAGGATAGTTCGAATGGAATGATGCTTGGCAGTTGTAATATAGTTGGAATGTAATGTATGTGATGAATATAATTCCATGGTTGGCTTTGATCTATGACTTGGATCCGGAAGACTGGCGGAAAGAGCCTCATCATCTTCCATTCTTGGCAAACTGACATCTTTGTTCCTGACCTAAAAGTTTCATTTGCAAATTTTGGCCAACTCCCTGTTCCTTTCGGCCAACTCATTTCTTTTACTCAAATCCAAATGTACGTGTGTTCAATCTGCACTTTCTGTAATCAAAAACCAAAATCAACGCTGGGAACTCCCCAATACTTGCTGAACATTTTCAGATTTTAAATTTAGAACCACCGAGCTCGCAAAATCATTATTTTCTGATTGTTAAAAACACCAACTAAATCTAATAAAACAGAAATAGTAGACACATCATAGTTCTTCATATTGGAATGTTTTTACATTTCTGACCGTAGAAACGTAGAAACCTACAATTTCGGCCCGCCAAGTCGGCAGGTAGCCCCGGTAGCGTGGGGGAGTCCACCGTCTTGCCGAGTCCGCAGAGTCAGCCGGCGGAGCCATGGTCGCCACCGGAGACCCCCGAGAAGGCCTGCCAAAGTCGTGGAAAGTCTGAAATTTGACGGGAAAAATTGGGAAACCACAGCGAAAAGTCTTCAAAAGTCTTCAAAAGTCATCAAAGGTGAAGGTTTTCCCTTCTCCAGTGATTCTGAGACAGTTTTTAGATAGTTTTTAGGTGAATCATAGGGATATGAGTAACAAACAAATGAATCCTTCTTGGGGATGGGTCTCCGAAATCGTAAGTGGTAGTCATATTAGTCAAATGAAATGACCCAGATTAATGGTCAATCCCAACTTATGGGTTATATAGGGGTTACAAACCACTTACGTAAACTATATGTATGGTATGCACATCCAAGTAGGTTTACAGGGGGTGAATTGGTTATTTTACCTCTTTAGCAACAATCCAGTTTCCCCATTGTGTTTGAGGTTTTGTTTCATCTTTGTCAGAAATGGGGATTGTAAACCACGGACAATCACGGGTTCTCATTTCTGTACTTCCTCCAATCTAGAGATATTGGTTCATCCCTTTTAGTGGTTCATCCAAACAGATAGATGTACTGCCAAATTAAGGGAATCCCCATTCCATCCACTGGTTCATCGTCATTTCCCCATATAAATAATTATCATTTTGGCCAGGTTTTTGCCAATTTCAGACACAACCAATCAGCCAAACTAAATACTCCAACCATTTCATAGCACAGCAAACTGACAGAAAGTTGGCAACAGCAGTGTTCTACCCACATGCATTTATCCCCAGTACTATGGTCATCCCAGCGAATAGGATTCATGCATCAATTCACGAACAGGTGGGGATGTCATAAATGAGTTTTATCATCATCGATTGGAATGAATGGATGATGAATGGATGATGAATGGATGGGGATGATGAATGGATGATGTTTTATACTGGGGGAATGCAGTTTTAACCTTTTCAACATCATCGATGAGGCCCTGCCGGATGACACCGATGTCGTTGACGCGGCCGACGCTTCTCCCTTAGCAACGCCGCGGCCGAATCTCTCCTTCGAAGTGATCAACTCGACGGTGAGATTTTCGGGGCCATTGCTAAAGCGCTCAGGTGCATCGGTTGGCACCAGCTGACCCTGGCCATGAACTTTTCCGAAATTCACCAGGACTGGGAGACCCCAAATTGGAGGTTCAGTATTGGGTTTACCACATTCGTAGGACATTCACCATTATTTATGTTTTTTTCCCCACCTGCCAGGTGAGGGTTGTTAGATTTTATCAGAGCTGTTCTCCTCCTCCTCCGCCTCCTCCTCCATCTCCTCCTCGTCCTCCTCCTCGCAGTCCAGATCCCAGTGGGCACAGCCGGACCTCCACCGCGAGCTCCAGATCCCAGTGGGCACTACCGGACCTCCACTGCGAGCTCCAGATCCCAGTGGGCACTGCCGGACCTCAACCGCGACTTCCAGGTCGCAGTGGGCACTGCCGGACCTCAACCGCGACTTCCAGATCGCAGTGGGCACTGCCGGACTTCAACCGCGACTTCCAGATCGCAGTGGGCACTGCCGGACCTCAACCGCGACTTCCAGATCACAGTGGGCACTGCCGGACCTCAACGGGAAGAATGTGAGAAAAGATGTCAGATAGAATGTCAGAAGATATGCCCGATAGAATGCCAGATAGAATGCCAGAATGTCAGAAAGAATGTCAGAAGATATGCCAGACAGAATGTCAGAAGATATGCCAGAAAGAATGTCAGAAGATATGTCAGATAGAATGTCAGAAGATATGCCAGATAGAATGCCAGAAAAAATGTCAGAAGATATGCCAGATAGAATGTCAGAAAGAATGACAGAAGATATGCCAGAAAGAATGTCATAAGATATGCCAGAAAGAATGTTCTGAATGCCACAAGATATGCCAGAAAGAATATCAGAATATATGCCAGATAGAGTGCCAGAAAGAATGTCAGAAGATATGCCAGATAGAATGCCAGAAAGAATGTCAGAAAGAATGTCAGAAGATATGCCAGATAGAATGTCAGAAGATATGCCAGATAGAATGTCAGAAGATTTGCTAGATATGCGAGATAGATGGGGAGGTCGAGAGAAGATGTGCCAGATAGAATGTCGGAAAGAATGTCAGAAAGATGTATCTGTAGATGTGTCAGACCAAATATATGTAAAGTATTTATATCACTGCTTATGCCAACCGCATGATGACTGAGGCCAGGTTGCGTATTTAGATATTTCTTTCCAGAGCTGTGGAGTATGTAGCTATATATGCCATGGTGGGGATCATTCGAAGTGAAGTAATTTTTTTTATGGGTTTCGTAACCATCAAATGTATGGGGGATATAGATGATAAATGATTGTTGACTAGTGATGATTTAGGGAGTGATTATCCTCTGTGGTTTCTTGGGGATTCTGACATCACCCATAACGGGAAACCATATCAACCAAGCAGTAAGGGATGACATTTCCTGTTTTGAACACTGCTCATGTGGGTTTGGTACCTGAAAATACGGGACCCCTAGATACCATGCTTTAGACACTGTCGCAACATAGCTATTTTGTGGAGTATAACCGATTTTCCGACACACCCTTTTGCAGCAAGCAAATATTGTCTTTTCTCTGATGCAAGAAAAAGAGGATGACAGTTGATTAGGTAGTGCAGGGAGCTAGCCCTCCTTGGTGGTTCCTGGATTGGTGAATGGTTAAAAACATTGAATGCTGAAGGAACCTCACATGGACTGCCAATTCTATGCCTTTTGTGCCCAATTTTTTGACTTATGTCTACCAGATCTGGACCTTGGTTGTCCAGTCCAAGATCTGAGAAGACCAGTATTTTTTTGTCCCTTGTTCGAACCAATTTAAAGAATTTTGAAGACCGGGTCCCGGTTGTTTGCCATACACTTTGATTTTTGTTTTTTTTGAGCGTAGATGGCTTAGATTTAACCACGAACACAAAGCTCCTGGATCAACACACAACCACCAAGCCCCATGTTGTCAACCAGAAACCCATGTGGGTATGGTTCAAAATTATCACCCCGCAAAATGGATAGTTTGATACTATATATATATAAACTGTTGTGGGCCGATGAATTTTGATCCATAGCCAGCTGTGAGTTTTTCGATGTCGCAACGGCCAGCAGGTGCCTGGCACGGCTTTTGGCAGCTTCGATGGTTTCAGGCCCCAGAGCCTCGGGGGTCTCTAGGGGATGATCTGGAAGATCTGCCGCATTGGGCATTTTGCGGTTCCATGGATGTTGGTTCTGGGTTCATATGATAAAAAGATGTAGCAAGAAACAGGCTTATCCACTCCAACCTGCGGCAGGACAGCAGGGTGATAAAAAAAAAATAGCCATATCACCAGTGATGGGTATGATGGCGGATCCGCCCCATGGCAAAATATGTCAGGTTGGTGGGTATATTGGTGAATTCCTATCCAGCCAGACAAAACCATGCAAAATCCAATGACCGATGATATGGTCCGACAGAAAGATGCCCCAACAATGGTGGTTGTTTTCAGATCTCATTGGAAACCTCATTGGAAACTAGTGGGATAGATTGACAGGCCTTGATGCTTGTGCATGGACCTGCACCGCATCAGAAAGGAAATCCCCATGAAAATTCGCCAAAATGCTTAGTTCAACCCTCCAAACATCACTGCTTTTCTGAATTCAACCATATTCAACTCCCCAAAATCACCTTTTGTTGGGTGAACTCCACATTTTTCCCTTGAACACAGCGGGGTGAGAAGCAGGTCCGTGGTGGCTCGCTGATGTGGTGGGGTTCTCCGGAACTGGTGGCACAGGAACCGGCGGGCGCACTGCCGCTGCGCCACTTGGGCCATGGGAAGGGTCGATGTTTGGGAACTAAAATTGATTAATATGAATGGATACTAATGGATATTGGTTGCCACTATCGGCTAACGGATAGTATCCCAATATCCACTAATGGTTGATATTATTGGATATATCAAATGGAATACTGGGATCATTGGTATTAACTGGCATTAAGAACGGATATGAATCGCTGCAAACCATACCGGTGTGGCTGGAAACTTGTGCGGCGATTTTTGCATCCCTGGAGTTGAACCAAGGTGACATGAAGGTGCAGCGGAAGGGGGCCACACAATTCACACTGGAATGTGTCTTGGAGAAGATTTTCAATAGGACGCCGCGTGAAGGTGAAGGTGCCACACTGTGAAAAACTGCGGGATTCACCCGAAGAAACACATGGCAGTAGTTGAGCAAGCAAGATCTTTGGTCATGGAATAGGAGCAGAATCAAGGTCAAAGAAGGCCTAAGTTGGGGAGCTGTTGCCAGGACATTGGTAGAAGTGGGAACCGATTCACTGACAACCCGCAGGTCAAACATGCAAAATCGCCTATTTGAGAAGTAGCCCAAATGTTTTGGGATATACCCCCCACACTTCTCGGAGAGATGCTCAACTTGGTTGTTATTACACACCGTGGATATCACAATTCAGTTCAGTTCCATGCAAGTTCGGGATTGTGTGGGATTACACATTCCAAGCGTTTATGATTGGCTTCATAGGGATCAATATCAGTCATGTGTAGCCGTCATTTTTAGGTTCCATCCTCGAATGCCAAACTTAGAAGAAATGTCCATCATTTCCTGTGTGCCAGGCTTGATTACCATCACCTGGAACCAAACGATCGCCGTTTTGAAACCTTTGACAGTTTTTGACCCATCAAATCGGGAGTTTTAAAGCCATCCAAAAAAGGGGTGATTCTTTTTGCCTGGATGGCGGTCGACATCTGGGTTGTCTGAAGATAGGGTACCCCGTTCCACACCACTGGCTAATCAATGTGAATCATCATTTTCCCAGCCATAAGAATCGGGCTATACCCACCCCTTTATTTGAACAACTCTTACATTACCTACAGCCAGATAGCCATAATCCACTGGTGAACTCATTCCCAGGTGCCTTCGGTAAGAAGAAGGTTTACATCCTGGATACGGACGTCTTCAGCAGCTGCGAGGAAGCCAACTGGCTGTCAGATCGTGGCCGCACGTGGCCCAGGGCGGAGCAATGGGTCAGGGCTCTGGAAGAGGAGAGCATCTTGCATCCCAACATGTCGCCTGGAGCTTGGGGAATGGGGGGGAGAGGTGATGAAAACCAGAATTTTGTTGAAGAAAATGGCAATGATACGGTTATGATATGGCTATAGTATGTTTGAAACTACATGGTGCACGGCCCTCAGACAGCCGTGGTAAAATCTGCATTCTGACATCTCAAAAAAGTGTCTGGCGTTGTGGCGCCGTATCGATTTTGATATTTTAGGTGTGAAAATCAGGGTTTTGGAATTTCACAAAACTACTTTTTTTTTGCAAAACATCTGCTCGACACTGGCCCTTTTTTCTTCCATGGTTTCAGCGGACTTGTTTGGCGGCTTTGCCCAACCTTGCAAGGAAGACACTTGGCTGACACGGTCCCAGGAGCTTTCGCCACATGAACTGCTGAACTAATTTCTTCAGCTCAGGATGTTCTTTCACTTGGTTGTGGCAGCCAAGACGTCTAGGAAAGCTACTTGGAATGAATTTCTTCAAGGACAGCCAAGAAACGGTCAGCAATTTGCGTGCCGGCTACTTTGGAAATGTTCTGGCTTCTACCTTTGCGAATCTTTTTCGTCCATTCTTTGTTTTGATGACACACTTTACCATGGGGTATTTTCAAGGATTTGGCATGCGATTCCCAGCTGCGATTTCCATCCGAAAAGATCTTCGTTTTGCCATGAGCCCTCTTCGGAATGTTGTCTAGCAAGCGGCTTTCACGAATTTCAGACAAGCTCTCCGTCGGTGGTTTGCTGCCGATTTTGGTGACCTTTCCACATCAAAGACATATAAAATTGAATGTGACATGATGAAGTCAATAGTATGAATGCTGCGAGGCACATGGTCTATGCATCCTACAGAGCATTTATGTCGATATGAAATTATAGTGCTCAGCTGTGAAAAAAACAAAGTCAGTTCATCTATTTCTAGTCAAGAGGCTCGCGGACCGCTGAGATGCAACACGGCTGGTCCAGCTCGTTGAAAAGCGCCGAGACATTGGATATGCACGCAAAGCGACTTCGGTGGTGTCCTTCCTGCATTGATCTCTTTCTGTTGGATGTTCAAAATTTCCTTCTGAAATCTGACGCATCCTTGACCCACGTAGAACTTGCCAAGTGACGTACCATCGCACTCCACATTGCCAGATAGCTTCAACGTAGCTGCACAAAGTGTGCCGGCACGACTCTCCATGTCACGCATTGCTTCTATGAAGTGCATGGCCTGTTTCTTGGAGGAATGCGTCGCTTGTACCAAGTTGGCTACATATGGCACCTTAGACTGATCTTCTTTGACGTATGCTTTCAGAAGCTTGATAACATGTAGAGAGGAGCAGCGAAGGCCACAGAAGTAGCAGTGTGTGTGTGTGTTAAAATAATGCCTCCTTCCACAGTTCTTGCAGCGCCAATGTGGCAAGTTGGAGCGTTGTTCGCGCAAGCAGTTGTACATGGCTTTGCCATTGCAAGACTCACAAGCTTTAGGTTTCCAAGCAAACCCATTGCGAAGCAACCACTTCTGAGCACATTCCTCACTTGTCAAAGTGTCCTGCAAGAGTTGTTCATCAGGAATGTTTCGACGGATTTCCGCCGGGGATGGTACTCTCGATTGTCTTTTGCCAGTGTAATCCCGCCGTCTCCTCGCAATCATCACATCTTTGTTTCGGTTTTGTTTGCTTTTCCTTTGTTTTGTTTCTGTGCGAACAACACCTTTCCGCATCTTAGAGTTTCCTTTCTTCAAAGACTTCACCTGGGCAATCAATTTGCCGGATCTTCTCAGCAGCAGGCAGCTGACACGTGTTGATTCTATGCCCCGTGTTCGCCCGCACGCCGAACATCTATGCTGCTGGCGCCCCAAAGAACGGGAGGCAGCAGGACGCTTCATTGATGGGAAAAAAGGCAAAAAAAGCCTTTGTAAGTGTTTGGAGCAACATTTCATTTGTTTGAACCAAAAGCGTACGAATCAACCCTACATCAAGCTGCTCCAATTGCGTGCATGAAGTCAATATACGTCTCCATGCAAAGAAGGCATGCATGCTGTTCATATGTCGCAAGAAAAAGTCTTCCAGAATCCTCTGACAGTACTAAATTATGAAGAGTGCGCACAAATTGTGAGAAACGGAAAGGACACAATCCTACTGATAACTCAGGCAAGGCCAAATGCAATGAACATGTATGTGTGCCCAAATGATTCGATTCTGCAATGTGGCTGCTGTTTTTTTTTCCACCGTTCACTTCCTCGAATTTCTGTGCAAGGCGTTCTTCACATCTTCATACACAAATTTCAAATTCTGGGAAATCTCGCTGTAGCGACTCATCGGAAACTCGACGGACTCCCAGCACGCGGGTTTGCCATCACCTGATGATTGCTTAAAGAAGCCACGGCACACCAAGCGCAATTGTCCCTGGAAGCGGCCTGATTTGTAGACCCACGGACACATGGAGTACCCGCATTTGCATTCCCCCCACTTGTACCTCATTGTGTCATCTGCTGTTGGAAAAAACAACCTGTCAAAGTTTGAGGGCCAAAAAAGAAAACGAAATCGATGAGCAGCTGAGCTGAGCAACTTTCTTTCTCCTGCTGGACCCGCAGAGACATGTGAGGCTGCACTCCGAATGCAAATTTTCGAAGCGGCGAGCAATAGCCGAAATAGATCTCGATGAAGGCTCTTCATGAGAACTGGATGACACAGTCAACAAGTCTTGACAATATTTCTCCACAGCTTCGTTCTCTGCTTCCAAATATGTTTGCAGCGTGTCCGGGCCGAACACAAAGGCTGCACCTCCAGACCGCTCCGAAAGCAAATTTTCGAAGCGACGAGCAATGGCCCAAATCGATCTCGAGGATGAGGGCTCTTCATGAGAACTGGATGACACAGTCGACAAGTCTTGACATTATTTCTCCACAGCTTCGTTCTCAGCATGCAGCGTGTCCGGACCGAACACAGCTTCGGAAGCTTCAGCAATGAAGCCCGCATCGCCATGAGTTTGCTTCTCGTACAAGGACAAAGCGAAAAGTTGGGAGGCAACCGCTTGTTTCAAGTTTCTGCTTTTGGGGCTGTCGTCTTGCGTCACTGTATCTCCTAAAACTTCGCCAGGATCTTCACCATACACGCTGATCCACCAAGCCCATATGCTTAGACGATCCAACGTTGCACAAAGGACAAGAGTTCCAACAGGAGACATAAGCCGTTGTCGTGTGTATCGGACGATGTCGTGAGGATATATATGCATCGATCTGTATCATGCAAACAGAAGATGTACATATACAAAAAGATGACTTTAAGGTTTCTCGCGGCACAGCCCAACACAGCCACAAGCACAACGCAAAACAAAAACCGTACAAAAGATACTTTGCATATAATATAATTTAGGGTTTCTGATTAGACCGCCGACATTTAGGGTTTCTCACGACACCGCCCATAAGCCAAAGGATACAAAGGCTTACTTTTTACAAATGTTACTTTCCATTTATGTAAGGTTTCAAAAGACACCGCGTACAGCGACTAAATTTTTGCTTTGCAAAAGTGTCGTTTAGGGTTTCTAACAACACCGCCGACATTTAGGGTTTCTAACGGCACCGCCGACATTTAGGGTTTCTCACGACACCGCCCATAAGCCAAAGGATACAAAGGCTTACTTTTTACACATGTTACTTTGCATTTATGTAAGGTTTCAAAAGACACCGCGTACAGCGACTAAATTTATGCGTTGCAAAAGTATCGTTTAGGGTTTCTAACAACACCGCCGACATTTAGGGTTTCTAACAACACCGCCGACATTTAGGGTTTCTAACGGCACCGCCGACATTTAGGGTTTCTCACGACACCGCCCATAAGCCAAAGGATACAAAGGCTTACTTTTTACACATGTTACTTTGCATTTATGTAAGGTTTCAAAAGACACCGCGTACAGCGACTAAATTTATGCTTTGCAAAAGTATCGTTTAGGGTTTCTAACAACACCGCCGACATTTAGGGTTTCTAACGGCACCGCCGACATTTAGGGTTTCTCGCGACACCGCCGCAATTGATGCAGCACTCTACAAAATAATAGTTTGCACATGGGTTAGTTTCTATAGACCGCCGACATTTAGGGTTTCTATCGGCATCGCCGACATTTAGGGTTTCTAACGAGACCGCCGACATTAGGGTTTATCGCGGCACCGCCATGTCGAACAAAGAATGACAGATGGACAGCTATAGCGCCAGCACAAACAACACATGTACAAGGAAACGGCAGCGCCAATGCACGTTTTTGGATGCAAAAAGTGCGGCATACCAACCGTCGGGTAGATGTTGCCATGGCTGATCTTCAATGTTTGCCAATTGGTTTAGCAAAGGTCTCAGGATAGCAGAAATGTTGTCCTAGCTTCTTGGGCCAAACTGCTGGTGGGTGTGGGCACCTTGCCAACACCAACCGTCGATATAAATATTAAAAAAGTATGTGTATACCATGAAACATATATATATATATTGGGGCATTGTATGTGGATTTTTTCTGCACAACCAAAACCCAAGGAGATGCAAACATGTGCACACGTGTATTTACATATGTTGTTTATGTGCATATGTATTTGTATGTGTATGTACATATACACACATATATATATATATATGTGTATATATAATTGTGCGTATAAACATGTAATTATGTAATTTTGTACATATATGCCGTGTGAACACATGTATGTATGCAAATATATATATACATACATACGTGCGTATATAAACATGCACATATTTACATATATATATAGAATTATATAGATATAGATGGCTATATGTCGGGTCAAATCCGTAACCAAATTTTTGTGGAACAGAAAGCACGCATTTCCCGATCGTTGCCCTGTGAAGTTTTGGCTGAACCCAGAATCTCAACTAAAACAATTAGAGGAATACAAAAATCAGATACTGTGGAGAAATCTTCTATGTGGTTCTGAAAACCTAATTTGTGCGACTTTCCAATCCCAAAATCTGACTTTGAACCTTTGGGCCCATGTCCGTTCACCTCTGTGCCTGCGCTGATGGCTGGCTGGTTGTGCGTTTTTTTCGCCGCGGACTTTGGTTTCAGTCCCTTTGCAGCATAGCATGGCTGCAACAACCCTGCAGCAACACCCCGATACGGACCCAGCTGATCTGTTTGAAGGTCTTTTGGTGGACTTCTGATGGAATAGTTCGGTGGTTTTTTAACTTGGGGTTAGCCTGTTGGGTGTTTTCGTGGATCTGCAAGATTCCTATGAGATTGTCGAACCAACATAATTTTGAAGTGGTCCTCAAAACAACCGCTGAAAAACTGGATGCACAATCTCGCTCTTCAAATTTAAAGGGCTGGCTTTCAACTTGACTTGATATTGGTTTGATTATGATTTTTCAATGTGGAATTCAACCACCAGCTGGGACCCTTTCGCTAACACGGCATTTTCGCCATGTAAGAGGACAAAGCGACAACGTATCGTTCAATTGAACGCTTTTGCACGGTGGCCCCATGACATTTCGCGGCAATTTTTTTGATTTGCCCTAAAAATTTTTCTTCGCTCCAGCAATGGTGAATTTTCGGATTGATTTGAGACATACGCACATGGACTGCGACGTGCCAGCAATAATGATGCTTCGGCCTCAACTTGAATGCCAGTATAGAATTGTTCCAGCAATAGCTTGCCAGAAACTCTGTAGAGCGAAGGTGAATGTGAATCATCTTTGACATTTCCTGGGATGCAACGCAAACATTTTTTTGAGAAAACACACGTTGGCTAAATGTGACGGACCCCAAAAAATCCCAAAAACACCGACCCAATAAACACTGACCAACTCTGGATATGTGTGCCCAAAAAGTGTGGGTATTTCCCTTCAACGATGCACCCCAAAAAATACAGGAAAAGGGATGGAAAACATGTTTTGGTACCCATCGTTGGGTTTCTTGTGGAAAAACCTGGAAAGCTAGAAGGAGTCATGTAGCTGTTGCTTCTGCAGGTGACAAAATTAAACCCGAGTTGTCCATCAAATCTTGAGCTCTCGCCAAGGAATACGTGCAAGCGCTGAGAAGTTGCAGTACTGGGTCATCCTCAGACACTTGGGTATGCAAGAGCTTGGCTGGGTGGCATTAATAAGGGCTCCAGAACTTTTAAACCAATGACTAATGATTATGTTTACGACAGGGAGGAAAACATGTATCATCAAAATCAAGAGTCAGATCCTTGGGTGAGTTGTGCCACCTTTTCAGCCAGCCACCAAACCATGACTCGAATGTGAGCAGCCTTAAAGCGGGATCCCAGCTCACAAAAGTCAGTCCCTCCAAATGAGCAATTGGTCGATGTCAAGACCCTGCGAGGTAGGTAAATCCTTGGTCAATGATTTTCATTGCAGAAAAAAATTAGACAAAGTGCTTTCGGGTAGACAAAAAAAATGTAATGTTTTTGCAAGGCTCTTGCGCTCCTTGCAATCTTGTTTCATTTCAATGCTCAACCTTTTCAGGAACTGGTCATCAGCCTCCCCAGGTTCATAGTGATACCCCCAAAGCTTCAGAAGCTTAAAGCAAGACGGAACATGGTTCTTCGCTATACCCAAATAGATCAGGTGCATGGTGTCGAACGCAATGGTTTCATACTGAAATCCCTCTACTGCACACCATGGGGATAGCCGTGCTGCAGTCCTGATGTACTCATCATGATCCTTGCAGGTTGCCGCATACGGTGCGTTGGTGGACATGTTTTTGTAGGTCATGAGGTAGTGCTGGGAATCCATAGGTTGAATCGCACCACAACGGTCACAACACTTTTTGCAGCGATAATATTCACTCAGCCTGTGGCACTGCATTCGGGCCTTAAGATCGGCCTTGAAAGCCATGTAAATCAACCTTAAGTTGGTCAAAAACTTATGCCCTTGGTAAATAGCTCCCCTGAGATCCATGATGGGCAGTTAACGTATCCCAGAGTTTGGCAGTGCCTGCAGGGGTCAATGAAAACCAAATATAAATTTTGTTCAAAGAAACTTGAACCCTTTTGCAATAGGTTTCCCACGAAGTGCATACCTGTAGGATCTTTTGTCGAATGGTTCCCCATAGAACCCACGTTCTGGGTACACACCAAGTGCACTGTAGTGGAGGCTCCATGCCACCAAATCTGCCATGGTCTTGTTGACACTTTGTCTAACCTTAGTTTGGAGTTTAACAAGGCCACTTGGAGAAAACATAATTTGTTTCACTTGCACCCAAGCTCCAACATCTTTTTACAAATCCCTCATTAGTTGGTTCGAACACCAGAAACGCGAGAAACCACGTGTGTTCCAAAAAGGGGGCAAAAAACAGTGACAAATGAACAACTCTCTGAATTGAATCTTTCTGGGTTAAACTTTTTTGTTTTTTGCCCCAAGTGCTGAAAACAAATCCAAAAGTCATCGTCATCTTCGATGTGGGCTTCTGAAACCAGAGAAATTGGATATCGGCTGAACAAGCAAGTGGGGCCACCCCCAGTTTGGAATGAACTGCACCAGCTGGTAACAAAATACTCACTGTTTCGATGAAACTCAGCGCCATCAGCATGGATAGAACATGGAACTGTTTTGGATAGCTCCTCATCCGTCAAGTTGTGCAGCACTTGGTGATGTTTGTAATCTGGAAGCGTTTTGAGGTGGGTCCAAAATTTTACCAATGCAGGTCCATCATGGTCGCCACACATCATAGATCGAAACTGTCAGGGTCATGGAATGAACACCCACATTCATACCTTCAAAACTGATTCAAACAAATTTCCATTGGAGGTTTTACTATTGTGGTCAGGAATACATAGAAATTTTGGCATCTATCCAGCCTTCGATTGCCCCATGCTATGGAGAGCCCCAAAGACCTCATGGGGGAGCAAGACAGCAGCTTCAACTTCCTGAGGATCTTCATCCCGTTCCACCTGGGCCGATGATCAGAGCAAAGAATCTCGGCAGTGGAAAATTGGATTTGGGCCCTTGGGTTGAAAATTTGGCACCAATAGAGAATCAGATGAAAAAGAAAAAACATCGGTTCAGGTACTCTGCCACACCTGAAGAGTCAACTTGATGTTGTAGGGTTCCAAGAAGAAGCCATTTGACCCACGAACCAGGCGCTGAAAATCTCTTTCAGTATTGCCATCTTGTTTTCCATTGGCACCACATCCAGCAAGCTTTTGTAATCCAGAATGAACAGAATTTGAAGAATCAAGCGTTACAGCCCGTGCAATATCAGCTACGGTTTGGACATGGGCATCACCTTTACCAACAAGCTCCAGAAGCTTGTCTAGGGTTGCACTCTGACCCACTCCAATAGGATCCCCTTTGCACCTTTTGGCATTTCGTTGATTGCCTGGCCCAGGTGGTAGATATCAAGGTAGCCGTAAGGGAAAGTGAAAGAAAGAGATGGGGGGTGATCCCATGCTTGTTCAAACTCTTCACTTCCACAAGCCTAAAGATGATATTTGTGATTGGTCCAGTGTCCCAAGACATCAGTGCGCAACACCTTTTTTCCACGCTTGACTGGTTTCAAGATGTGCTTTGGCCCCTACTCTCAACGCATGCTGTTTCAAGCATGCTGCAACCCCGAAATCCTAGATAGCAAAATCCTAGTTTGACCCAAGTCCTACAAGCCTAGTTCTTAGCCTTTGCTTTGGCCTTTGAACGCTTCGGTTGGTCAGTTCCCTTCAAGAGCCCGGCAGCAGAAACCTCAGGGGGAACCCCTGCCAAGTGGATATTGTTCTTTATTATGAGCACAGATAATCTTGAAACACTTATATGCTTATATAGATTGATTTCCAAATAAGGCTTGTTGGATGGCATACAAGTGGGATAATATTTGTACTGTTGTGGTGAAAACTATTGGAAACCCTTTTGGTAACCATCACCTCTGCTTTCTTATACCAAGACTGGGCTTCGTCAATCTTTTTCAGCAGTGCCATGATCGCTGCATCTTTGGGGGAGTCATGCTCCACTGTAGCCTTTAACTTGCCGTAGTAATCTTCCATCAAATTTCCATGTTTGCGCATCTCACCTGCAAGTTGATCAGCAAACGCCATCCCCTGCAGTTTGATGCCCTTGGCACGTGCCTTTGTCGCCTCATCGAGGACTGTGGCCAGCCGATCTTTTCCAAGCCTGGGCCGAGCAGCTGTGCGATTGGATGTATGGAAACTTGGATCAGGGGCAACCGAAACCTGGCCTTAATAAGAGGTGTGACATGGAAATGGGACAAATTGGTTTTGTTAAATTTTGACTTGGGTGTATTGAGAATTGTTTGGTTTAAACCAAAGCAATCTGAGGGGAAATTCATGGTTCAGAATCTGGAACCACAACAATTTGGACAAATGTCCAAAAACGAAGGAATGTCTGGATGGATAATTATATATATATATTTATTATATGTACATCTGTATAAAACTGTACATATTCAACTATACATAAAACACTCTATGTATATATATATATATACATATAACTATAATGTGTATATATATATGTATATTAACTCTATATATTTATAACTATATATATATGTGTAAAAATAAGTACTGGTAAAACCATATATAATATAGATATGTATAACCATATATCTATGAAAATATGTATACGTATATGTTTAAATAGGTGTATACATGTTTCTGGGACCAGACTGACCCCAGCTATTTGACCTGTGAACCGGGTTGATTGACTTGAGAACCCGTTGAGAATTGTAATGATTATCCCGGGGTTCTTGGGCCCCACAAGACCCCACTCAGGGAATAATATTCTGTGAGCTTGGAATCTTCGGTTTCTCATAGGAACATTCGAGACCCTGTTGGACTGGCAGGGGATAATTCAATTTGCCGATATGCATGAAAGAAATCATTTTTTGAAGCTCCACTCAAACACTAATGCCCAACTATTTGGGTTGTGAACCTAATATTTTTTTGTGATCCTGGTTGGGTATCCCAAATCTTCTGGGGCCCCCACTCAAGAAGTGTCTTCGGTTTGACTGGTTCAGCTGCTTCTGACGGGTTTGGCTTCCTTTTCTTTTCCTTGACGATTGTCTTGGAAGTGTCATCCAAGGCTTCGAGAACAGCCTTTTGCCCTTGCTCCGTGGCAGCTTTCACCGAGGGCAAGGCCCCACAGGGCAGGGGACCACTCTCACCAGTCAAAGCAGCAAACATATTGTCATCCAAAGTTTTCGTGGCCTTGGCCTTCAAACTGTCGGCAGTGACATCATCTTGTCGGATCACACGCCCCTGGGGCATGTAATACCAGGTCTCCTGCAAAATGGCAGAGCGAGAGAGAGGGAGAGGTATCATTTTTGGCTTTAGCACTGTAAGGAATTTGGCATATGGCATATATAGAATTTATCGAAGAGCAACACATGTTTGAACAACTTGTTTTGAACTTCAGTCCATGGGGTCATTTGGCCAGTCTTCGTCAAGGTAGTAGAGCCCGGCATCGGTTCTTTTTTTGATTAAGTCCTCAAACTTTTCAGTGCTCATGGAACTCTTCAGGGTCTTCGCTTGGACCGCGGTCCACTGTTTTCGGGCTAGGTTTTCTGTCTTTGACTTTCTTTCAACTTCACAAAGTACTGAATCCCAGCTCTGTTCGTGGTCAAGCCACATCGCAAACAGATCTGTTTTCTTCCGCCTCAGCAAAGGCACCAATGCCTGTGGAAAGGTCCCTGACTTGATCTGCCTGTCCATCTTGTCCCACTCTTTTTTGTTGGTCTTACCTGAGCCGTGTGCTGAATTGAAAGATGAATGGAATCTGAACAGGGTTGAATATTTATAAAGGGGTTAGGTCAGGACTCTAGAACAGGTGGCCCCATCGGCTATTGATCAACCATACCAACCTTATTTTGGGTGAGTTGCTATTTCGGACCGTGGAGGTGACAGCTGTCGCCAACTTTCCGTTCTCTTCCTCTCCTCCATTTCCTTCCTTCTCTTCTTTGTTTTCCTTCTTGCCTTCTTCTCCAAACTCCTTCTCCAACTTCGCCTGCCTCTTCTCTTCAAGCTTATCTTTGCCTTTCTCCAAATCTGCGAGGTATTCCTCTAGGTCAAAGTCGCTTTCATCCTTGTCAGAGCTGCTTTCCTGGTCACTCCCTTCGCTCTTCTCCTCCTTTGCATCATCAGACTCATCATCTTCCTCCTCCTCGTCATCAGTTGCCTCATCATCATCTTCTTCTTTCTTGTCATCCTCCTCTCGTGCCTCTCCTGCTCCTTCTTCCTCTTCATCCTCTTCATCCTCTTCGTCCTCTTCGTCCTCTTCATCCTCTTCATTTTCTTCATCCTCTTCATCCTCTTCATCCTCTTCATCCTGGTCTTCTTCTCCGCTGTCTGCAACTCCTTGACCATCCTCCTCCTTCTCATCATTCTCTGACTCTTCAGCCTCCTTGGCTGACTCTTTTTTGTTGGCTGTAGTCTCGTTCTCCTTGTCCTTCTCCCTTGCCTTTGCTCTAATGTCTTTCCTCATCTCTTGGAAAAAGCCCAACATGTCGGAGCCGTCCATCTCTGCGTCATCCTCAGCCTCCTTCATAGCGTCTTCTAAGCTTGAGCGCATTTTTGCCAAATGGGCTTCAGCCTTGGCCTGCTTCTCTGCTAGGTTTTTGCCACTGCTTGTGCTAGACCTGGTGCTGTCTGCTGGTGATTTCATACGCAATCTTTTGCAGGGAGGTGTCTTGGGGGCTGCCATCCTTTCCTGTCTGATCCTCTCTTCAAGTATCTGAATCTTCTTCTTCCTCTCTTCTTCACTCTTCTTCTGCTCCTTCTCATCATACGCCTTTGCCTTTCGGTCTTCTGAATTCGTCTTCTTTCCTGCAGCCTTCTTCTCTGCCGACTGCCCATCTTTTTTCTTAATCTTCTGACTCTCCACCTTCTGATCTCCTGCCTTCCCTGTCTTCTTCTCTGCTGCCTTCTTTTTCTCTGCCTTTGCCTCTTCAGGTTTCGGTCGACTACTTTTCCTCAGTGCACTCTTTCTTTCGTTTGTAGTGTCATCCTTTGGAGTCTCCTGGGCTTTCACCTGCGCCTCCTTCTTGTTCTTCTCTTCGTGCTTTTCCTTCTGCGCGCTTTCCTTTGCCTTCTTTGCATTCTTTGCTTTGTTGATTACTTCATTCCTGATTTTTGAATCAGCCTTTCGTATGACTGCCTTTGCCGGTGCAGCAAGGGTGGTTGAAGCTGCCTTGCCCTTTGACTTTCGATCCTTGTGCCCACCGTCTTGAGACTTAAGTGCAGGCTTGCGCACCTGGGGCTTGCCTGCTTCTGGTTTCTTCGTTTTGGCCATTTTGGCCAAAAAGTAGCTGCTCCAAATCGCAGCCACTGGTGAAAAACCTTTTGAACAAGAATGCCATCAGAGTATTGGAGGTTGACCTCAGATGATTTTGGTATATTTTTGGTCACAAAATCCTGAAATTCAAGAACAACTACCAATCGCAGGAGATCGCTACAGATCGCATGATATTCTCTACAGGTCGCATGAGTGAAATTGAAGATAATGTTGCAAAAAAAAACTTTGGAATTGTTTTCGCTGAGTTTCTGATTTTCAATTCTTTTTCAGCTCCAAGTAGGTAGACCTGCCCACCCAAAGCCACAATTCTGGCCTTGTGTGGCATTCAACCTCTTCAAAACCACTCGGCCCATTGAGTCACCTGCGTAGGGCTGGCCAGATTGCGATATATAGATAACTTGGGGTTGGCATGGGGTTTTGGAAGTCTTTGTGCATTCCTATTGATGCTCTACGAAACATCTGAAAACTATCAGCTGCGCAATTTTCATCCCCATGTGCATCGATAATGCCATGGATCATCTAAGATGCCATGAGCCATCTAATTTTAAGTGTGGGTATTCCACATCACTAAATATGTTGTGATCTATGATCACTGTTTGGCCAAGTATTGGAAAACCGGCTTTAAGTCAGCCAATTTCATCCACAAAAGATTGGTCTTGTTGGTCATGTCCAGCTGGGATGTGTCCTCTCCATCCAAAGCCCGACGGAGGAAGCGAGCTGCTGCAACCCTCTGGCGTTTCAAGTGGCGCGTGCGCACCTTTGCGATCGCCACTCCGAACCTTGGAAGATGGATTGGTGGATCTGGTGGGGTGGAAGAGGTTGATTGATCCCATTATTGACCCAGTCCATTGACCCTTTTCGGATGTAGACTACCGTTATTAATCCCAAATAATTACTAAAGTATCCCAAATATCCAGTTATCCCAAATAATTTCCAAAGAACTTCCTCGGGTAGGCCTGGCTCTGCTTAAGAGCGCTGCCACCTTTAACCCGGGCTTTGCCATTTCCATCCTGGTAGTGGGTTACCATGTGAGGGTTCGTAGGACGAAGGCTGCGATCAGCAAAGTCGTTGAACTCAGTTGCATGTGTTTCACCTTGGTTTTGTTGACAGCAAACTAACTGGAAAATGGTAACACTGGCGTTGCATTGTTTGGCACACTTTGGACCAATGAACACGTTACTCTCGATATTGATATACATGTGTCTTACAATGGTGGTACCCCTGAATCATTTTCAAACGATTCTCCATTATAATAAACAATCGTTTATAAATTAATAACCATCCTTTTTGGGCACACCTCCATTGTGGGACCCTCCACATATACAGCGTCTCAGGGATGTCAGGATGTCTTGTATGTGTATATATATATATGTGTGCGTATATATATATATAAAATTATATATATATACATACACAATCTTACAGGATCAAAACTGTTGCAAAACTGTGAGAAAGTCACTGCTGTAGACCCAGACAGGCTTCATGCTGTCAGCTCCGAAGTGTCCAAGGCTACAAAGAACCCTGCTCACACTGACACCGACCAAGCTGAGCATTTTCTGAAACAAGATATGGGATTCCAACAATGAACCCTTTGGTTGTTCTAGACACCACCATATTCCTTTCGACATAGCGATGGTAAGAATGATCACCACCCGTGCCACCATCACGTTGTGCTTCCAAGTCAGCCCTGTATTAAACCCCATTGGGTTGGCAGACGATCTGCCAGTTGATGCTCGAGACCTAAGTTGCTAAATTTCTTCTCATAAAGGATCATAAAGGAACCACTATGCTCAATGGCATCACCCCATAACCCCCCCAAAGTAAAATGATTTCTAACTTCTCAGCCAATGATCAAGTACACCCAAGTGGAACACACCGGGGCTGCCCACAGACTGCCTCCCGGCTTCACATTCAACACCTGAAACAGTGTGTTGCTGAAACCTTCGTTGGTGAGAATGTCGTGCTCCCGTCCAAAGCGCACGTCCATGGCCAATGTGTGGTGCTTCTCCTGAGCAAACAGGAGAAACTTAAACTACAAGTTGTAGAACTGTGGGCCCAGTTGGATTCAAACTTGGTTAGATTGGGTTCCAGCATCAAATAGAACCTGGGTGGTGGAAGCTCTTGAACGATAACCCCTTGGTGGTTTGAGGGGCATTGATTGGTGGTGCCAGCAGGAACCACAATTTGCAACTGCTGAACATCAAGGTTTTGTACACCCTGTCCTTGTGCTCTCCCCTTGTAATTGCACACTCTCCGGCAAACAGCTCTAGGCTGTCAGTAGGATCGGACCATGACAACCCTGGGGCAGCAAAGACCAAATTGCTCAGCGCAAGCAACACCTGACAGGGGCTCAGTTCAAAACGCGTTTCCAGGATGGTTGTTTGGTGTTGCCCACTAGTGGTTGTAGCAACCAAAATGCCACCATATCATTTTTGTGAAATATATAACACATGTTTAAGGGTTACCGATGCCTCCCCATTAAACAATACCTATGCCTCGCCATTTGTTTTTGTGAAGTTTTGTTTTTTGGGAAACTTAACATGCATGATGATATAGATAATGGGATACAAAAAACTTGTTGCAGTATGCAATATGTATGCCCATATATGGGCCACCGTCAATATTTAGCATATAGCTCCAAGTCGTCAATTTTTGAAGAGTGTATCATCGTTTTTCAGGTTTGGGGATATTATCCAAATGGTGCTTCAAAACTCAAACTTCCCTACATCTACCCTATTTGTGGGAACCAGTTTGTTTGCAATTGCAACTGAGGAGATTTGGAATACCACACCCATGGTGCTCGAAGGGATCGAAGGCCGGCCGACATGTAGCCACGCTGCCTTTCCTTCCACCCAGTGCGAATCTTCTTTCTGGTCTCACTGTTCATCTGGAAAGGCATTTTGGCTTTCAGTGTCCCACCCATGGCATGTTTCCCCATGATTGGTATAAGCGGTGGAAACCAATCAGCTACCTGGTTCTTATCTTGATAGCTTCGCTGCCTTGGCACTTCATTGATTTCAGCAATGCTTGTTGGGTGTTTGACAGGATTCCTGCCACAGGTGGTTTATCTTCCCCATCTTGGATCATTGCTGAAAATATTCAAATTATTTTGGTAGTTGAATCCCATTTGAAACTAGGCGTTATTTAAATACTTTGGGTCAAAACCCCTTTCAGCACAACGCCCATGCTGGCTTCCACACAGGCAAAGCGGTGGTGGCGATTCGCACCTTTGTCTTCCTCTTTCACCTGCGGCGTGGCAAAGCAATTTTCAATCTGGTGCCCTGCAACTCGAGATTTAATTTGGGAGGTGGTGGATTGGAAAATGAATTCTAAAGAGTTTCAAAACTACTATGAACCCCAACTTTGGTTGGTATCTGACAATAATCTGCTTTGGTTTCCCTTTTTAACCTTGGTGGTTCGTGTTCTCAACAACCCCCAAAAGATTGAGCCTCCACGAAAGGTTGCTCAGCTCATTTCGTCATGTCCTTCGGTAGAGTGAAGATAGGGAGAATAACTGCCCTAAGAGGATGCCAAGGGAATGTTATTATCAGATATATATATATATATATTGATGGAAATGTTGCTATCATATGTAAATATTAATTGATTCACCCAAATCATTTAGAAAGCCCAACTTGCTATAGCAGCCTAAGGGAATCTATCTTGCATAAATCTTGGCCAATGAAAGGAAATAGCAACGTGTCGCCTGGCAATTTTCCACTTTGCTTGGCCAACATGAAAAGGCCCCAGCAACTCACCAAAAACTGGAAGTTTCATTGGGTTTTTGAAAGATTTTTGCTATTTGTGGGGGGCTTTTTTCTTGGGCCAACCTATGTGGAAATTTAGCAGTGTCCCCAAAAGGTTTCTTCAAGGTTCCCAACTAATCCAACATAACCCTGCAATCCTGAAACCTCGATAGATTACCGAAACATTGGTCCTCTTGGTGACGGTTGGAGACTTCAGCACCTGTTGTGGCCAAGTGCAAGTGGATCGGTGATAGAAAATGAATGGGGATGATTGGGACGTAAATTCAAATGACGTCCGTCTTCTTAAAAAGGATGAACATGGAGCTTGGGGAACCCAAAAAGTAAGAGGTTCCCAAATGAAAACCGGGATGATCTTGTCACTTCTTATTGAATGATTGACGGACATGTATGAACCCACATCAGTCAGTGGTCGGGCCTTTGAACGTGAGCTGATCCACCGGGTGAGCAGGTAGAGGTCGTTGAGGTTAGCACCTGCGAAGGGACACACTGCTTTGGAGCCATTGTGATCTAAGGAAAGGGTCATATGGATATCTGGCGACATCTTCGTCTATGTGGTTCTCTGGCACACTGCATCACGACAACGGGCGATATCGCTCCGATCCTCTTTTGCATGTGGCTGGGCTTGGGTCACTCCGCAAAGAGAGATGATAATGACTTTCGGTCGAAACATCCAGGCAGCAGCTGAAAAAACATATGACAGTGCATTTGGGTTTTCACAATTGCCTTGAAAATGTTCCCAAAATAACATCTAAAGAGGACATTGAGCTTTGGAATTCAGCCGCCCACTAACCTGAGAAATCCCGCTGAAGATTCTTCGCCCCCACTTCTACTTCAAGAAGTGTTCATTCACCCCAGATCGACTCTAGCACAAACTGTTTATGCAGAGTTCTACCAAAAACTCAAGCGACTCAAGTGGATGCCTTTTCCCAGGCTGCTGCCTTTTTGGCTGCGTCCCAAGCACCCTGAGCCCCTCCATATTTGCTCCACGTATATTGGCCCTTGCCAGAGTCACTGGTAGATCCGTCCTTGGATTCCCCAACACGCTTCACGAAGAATGCCCGTGATCTGAGGAGGCATTCGACGACCTCAGATGTGGAACTTTTGGCAGGACATTGGGATGTGGGCCCTGCTGGTGGCATGCAATACAATTTCAATATTCGCTTCGTTTAAACATTGTGCAAATTCATTTGGTTGATAAGTTTATCAAAAAGCTCTTGGATACCCCATTCCCATGGATGTGCAGTTTAAGAACTTAAGATATGAGGACATATTTCCATAAACATAGTTTCATAATGTTTCATATTTGAAATGCAGGCGACTGCTCCATTGCCAGCGTGAATCGTGTATCCATGCTTGCCCTTGTTGTCTCGTGGCTGGGGCCATGCTTCTAGAGGTACTTCAGCAAGACTGTAACCCTTGAACTTGTCACCATCATGATCCCGGGTTTCAGGGTTGGAAGCGGTTGGCTTCTTCTCCTTTTTGGTCTTGGTTTTCCCCTTCTTGGTCTTGGTCTTGGTTGCCCCAGGCTTCGGTAGCTTTGATAGATTTTCCGTGTCAACATCAGACTGAGCATCCCGAACACGTTTCACACCTTTAGCCTTGGAAGCAGGCGCAACGAAATACCAACCAAACCATCTTTTTTTGATTTGAACATATGCTTGATGAATATTTCTCAAACATTTATTTTTTGCTCACAAACGAAAACAAAACCTTGAGTTTAAATTGCCAACAAACCGTTTGGATTCCAACAGGAGATGGCGTGAAATCGTCCCCCGAAGCTTTTTCCACAGAAGCCAAAGATGGTGGAGGTGTTGCAGCAGTTGAGGCACTGGAACCTGAATCCCCAGCATAACCACCCTTGCCCTTCTCCTGATCCACGAAAGCGTTCTGTCGTAGAAGTTTTTTCAAATCTTCAGATGCCTGAATACCAAGCAAATGGTGAATGCCAGGTTGGTTGGAAAAACATGGAAAAACTACTGAGTAGTGACTTCGGACAAATGACAGATTTAGCCACTAGACTAAATCAAACGGAAAAATTCCAGGTAAAAGGCTGAAACAACGCTGAGAAAAAATCCTATAGCAGCAAACATTTTGTAAGAATAGCACTCCCAACTCCCAACACAGGTTTCTCAGGAAAATGGCTTGCCTTTGGGTTCTTCTCATGATTGTCCATGACCTCTTGGGCCTCTGCTGTCCTCGCCAACTTCTCGTTGTCTTTGGGGCTTAGCACCTGTAAGAATGGAACAGTGGCTAGAACGTGTCATAGGGCTGGGAAACGAATTCAAAACACTTCAAGAACATTTTTTTCCTCCCAAAATTTGAAATGAATGTTGTTTGACTCAATGGGCCTTGTTTCCAAGAGCCTCGTAGCGTGCACACCAGGACTCAAAGTAATCCCTCGTGCTAAGCCAATTTGTGGCCCGAATCCCAAAACGAGCGAAAGCCCATTCACAATGGTCGAGGTAGTGCGCAAGGATCGTACTCCTTTGCAACAAGACTGATGAGGCGGGGAAAAAACCAGGTACAAAACCAATACAGCAACTAGTTTAGCTCCTGTGTCCAAAGGTAAAACAAGTCCAAGAGGGAAGAATCAGTTCCTTCAAATATTGTTTCAGATGGTTGGTTTGGAAAACGAAATTGATAAACACAAACTGAGAAGCTTTGAAATTGCAGGCTCATGTTGGCAAAAGTATTGGAGTAGCCCTACGCACATCTCTGTGATCTCCGCCCTTCTGGGTCCCGAGTTGCCGTAGATAGGCGTCGTGAACAATTCTTCTCGCCAAAGCATGTCAGGTTTCTTTTCAGGGGTGCATAGATCTACGTGTGCAACGGATTGCTCAGAGTCAGATTCGGTGGGTGTAGCTTCCAAATGTTCATCGGCTCCCAGGGTCCAGGTCTCCCCATCGGAAACCTCTGTCTCCCCACCCTTCACCTCGGCTTCCTCCCCTTTGTCCTCAGAGTGCGCACTTTCAGCCTCGGATTCCTCACCATCAAGTCCAGGGCCATGAGAAACATCACTGAACTCATCACCTCCAGCCCCTTTGCATTCCTCATCATCACCTTCACCTTCAACCTCATTCTCATCATCACCACTGGCTTCAGATGCCGCTTCTTCAGTGCTCTCATCATCAACAAGAGGTTGAGCCTGGACGGAAATGCACCAAACATCAACACCAAGCACTTGGTAAGGAAATTGTTGTAAATCTGATTGATCAACTAT